TGGCCATTCATATTTTGTAGCATTTTGTTTATCTCATCTAGATTTTCACCAGTGTCTTCTGAAATTTCCTGGATTATTTTGGCTATTACTTCCATTATCTTCCAGGTATGCCTTCTGTGGTCCCCCTGACTACTTTTTTGATCTGTTTTCTAACCTCCTCTGTTATTCTTTCAAGTAATTTCAGTGCAGCCCCCCAAGAGCTGGGATTATAGGCTGCACCACCACGCCCAGTCTCAATCGCTGTCTCAGCATGCCCCGGGGACGGGGCCAGCATGGCAGGCCCTGGGATTGAACCCCCAGCCTCTGCGCCTGCTTGCAGGTGCTTTAATCTGCTGAGCTATGTGGCTGGCCCTAATAGAGATCTCTTTAGTCACTTTTCAGTGATGTATTTTGGCTAACTATAGTTCTTTGCCTCAGCCCTAACATCTTACCATCTTGGTGTGTGTGTGAGGGGCACACTGTAATTAGGTGAACATCAAATTTTCTGAGAATATATTTTAGCATTGTTAGTGTCACAAAGATAATCTGAGTATTGGTTTACAATTATGTCGCTATTGTATGACCATGTTAATTAAGTGGCCATGTTAATAGCAAGCAAATCAGTTACAGTAGTATTGCCTGAGATATACTGGATGTCAAAATAGGTCTTTTCCAGCCTGTCCATGGTTTCCTGAGCACCACTGACTCTTGTGACTGTATCTCACCCAGTCACTGTGGGAAAGTACCCTGAAGTGAAGCTGTCCTGGAGCTGCTCTGAGTTCCAGGTTCAAACAATCATTCCTTCCCCAGACTGGCAGCTGACCAACAACACTCTCCAAAGATATGGCAGGCATGTGGGCTGGAGTCACTCACCAGATGTTGCCTGGCAAAGAACTCATGTGGGAGCAGAATCCCATGCCGGGCCTGTAGCTCTCAGAACCCGCAGGTCCCTCTTCCTGCATCCCCATTTCTCCCTGAAGGTCTCTGGAGTTCCCAGCTTTCACTTGGTCTCTATAGATTTGGTTTCCCTTTCCCACAAGCCACAAGCTAGGAGCTGGGGAGAAAGTACAGCCTGTCCCTTCCCTTCTCCATTGTGTTCAATTTTTGTGTAGGCTTTAATTTTCCTGTCAAATCCTTCCTGGTTCTTGGGGATCTAATTCTCTCTTATTTTCTTCCCCAAGCTGTTATTTTCCAGTGTTTGGATTCAGAATCTCAAAGAAGCTGAGGGGTCATTGCTTAATACTCTGCTATTTTTCCATGACTTGCTTTTTTATCCCACTTGGTAGTTCATAGATTATTTTCCAAGTTTGTAAGTGTAGATTTATTTATATAGTAAGTTTGGATACTTTTGACAGTGACCACACTATATCTTCTTTTTTTGCCCCTTCAGAAATCTTTCCCTCTTTGTGCTCTGCCCCCTGGGGCCCTGATCCTGGAAATGTGCATGAAGGGACTGTCCCTTGTCCCCAGCCTTCTTGCTGGTTTGGGATAATGGGAAGCATCAGTTGGAGGAAGGAGGCAAGTTCAAGAGAACCCAGCTTTTTCCCGTGGGGTCGCAGAGAGTTGATTACATGTTTCTATTGAAGACCACATTTTTTATCAAATATTCTCTCTACTCAACAACCCTCTTCAAGTTCTTGGAACTAACCACTTCCTTCCACTTACACTCAAGCAGAGGAACTCCTGGAGTCTACCCATCCTTTGTAAAACTGTTTGCTCCTAAGTAAATTCACCTGATTACCCAGCTTGAAAAAATGTCACTAAATCTTGCAGGGACCCAAAATGGTACCACTAGACCAAGGATTTCTTTTTTCTTTCTTTTTTTTGCAGAACCGGGGATTGAACTCAGGCCCTTGCGCTTGCCAGGGAAGTGCTTATTCCACTGAGCCCTCTCCCCAGTCCCTCTTTTCATTTTTTTGAGACAGAGTTTTGCTATGTACTCCAGATTAACCTTGAATTTATGATCCTCGTGCCTCAACCTCCCAACTGTATTCAACATGTCCAGCTCTTCCTTTTATCCTTTTTTTTTTTTTTTTTTTTTTGTGCCAGAGCCAACCCAGGTCCTTGTGTATATCCGTACTCTAACACTGAACTGTATCCCGCGATCTGGAAAATGCTATTTGATGAAGCAGGGACAGATGTTTGGAAATGGGACTGGACACGAGGGGTGTAACCTAACAGTGACAGCAGGTAAGGAAACCTAGGAAAGCCTGTCTGTTTGGATTCTTCCTTTTTTTCCCCCCAAAGTCTTCTTGACCTCTCACTTGTAGCATTTTTTCCTCTCCGGAATGGGGTAGGACTTGCTGGAATGAGAATTTTATGACTTACTACTTGGGCAAAGGTAGATCAGAGAATTTTTTTATTACTAGCTTGAAACAAAAGGGTGGGGAAGCTTAGTGTAAGAATTCTAGTTTTAGAGCTGGTATTGGAAACAGGCTCTAATTTCTTGCATTTGTTGTTATTGTTTTCTTTCTTTTTCTCTCTTTTTTTCTTTTTTTTTAATTTTTTTTAAATTTTTTTTTATTTATTTGAGAGAGAGAGAGAGAGAGAGAGAGAGAGAGAGAGAGAGACAGACAGAGGTGTGTGTGGCCAGCTCAGCCCACCAGGGGGCGGGACTGGCATGTGGTGCTGGGGGATCGAACCGCGGTCCCTAATGCTTTGCTAAGCTTGTTCTAAGTAGGTGCTTTAGACCACTGAGCCATCTCTCCAGCCCTCTTTTTTTCTTTTTTTGTACTAATGATGGAATATATGGCCTCATGCATGCTAGGCAAACCGCCTGCCACTGAGCTATGCACACGCCCAACCTGAAGGCGGCTTTCATTTCTATGGCCTACCTTGTGGAAGAGGAATTCTGCTTCCTGTAACTTGATTTGTGGGAGAATGAAGGGTGAAAGCCAGGAAGGTGCAGGCGTTCAGGGTAACACTGGCCTGGAGGCTTCCATTATCCTTCAGCCCAAGGTATGCCATATATCCAGGCACCATGTTTTGGGATGTCAGCTTCTGAGCCTCAACATAGGTCAAGGGGCAGAATCAAGGAGATAACATGAGTGATAAATTTACACAACATTTTTGACATAATTAAAAATATAATAAAATGAATACAATATTTTTAAGTGTTTTTGAGACAGAGTCTCACTATGTAGTTCTGGCTGGCCCTGAACTCACTATGTAGCTACAAATTCATGGTAATCCTCCTGCCTCAGCTTCCCAGCAGTTTGGAAATAGTGGTTGATGGCAGTTCTCATGTAGAAAATGCTTAATCTCAATGCAGAATTCAAAATCAAACAAAACAAGGCTATGAGTATAGTTTAATGGTACAGAGCATATAAGAGGCCCTGGAGTAAATCCCTAGCACCACCAAACTCAATCAACCAAACTTTTTTTTCCGTGGTACTGAGGTCTTAAACAAGTTAGGCAAGTGCTCTAACATTGAGCTACTTTACTAGCCTCTGCCCTTTTCAAAATTTTTATTTTGAGACAAGTTCTTACTAAGTTTTCTAGGCTCACATCAAACGTGTTATGCCTGCCTCAGCCTCCCTAATAGTTGGGGATGCAGGCATACACTGCCATGCCTAGCTAAAAGTACTTTTTTCTTTTTTGGAAAAACTGGAGATTGAACTCAGGCCCTTGTGCTTGCCAGGGAAGCACTTATTCCACTGAGCCATCTCCCCAGCCCCTAAACACGTACTTTTAAACACTGATTTGGGGTCAGGGAGATGGCTCAGTAGAATAAGCACTTGCCTGGCAAGCGTAAGGGCCTGAGTTCTACCCCTGGTTCTGCCATTAAAAAAAAGATAAACTCTGTGATTTTTGTCATGTGAACTTGTGGTCCACTTTCCATTCAGATTTATAAAACATTAACTTGGAAACTTCAAGTCATTTTCATCCAGTAGTCTTTCCTGATCAACAGTTAAATACGTCAGTGCTTGCTGGGTGTGGTGGTGTGCACCCCCTGTAATCCCAGCACTCTGGAGGCTGAGGCAGGCGGCTTCAAAGTTTGAGTCCAGCCTGAGCAACTCAGTCACTTACCAAGATCTTATCTCAAAACTTAAAAACAAAAAAGGGAAAAGGGCTGGAAGATACTGGACAGAGAGAGCTCTTTCAGATACTCTACAGATCCGTTTCAGGAAGTCCTTTCTTAATATGTGATAAACCTCCAATCCCCCCACCCCATGAGGGATTGAATTTAGGCTTTCTCCTGCATTCTAGGCAATGGCTCTAGCACTAAATGATATCCTCTCCCTTTTCTATTTTTTTTTTTTAATTTGGGGGTGGAGTTTGAGGCAGTGTTTCACTTTTTTTTTTTTTTTTTTCTTTTTCCAAACAGGGTCTCACTAAATTGTCTATGAGCAATCTCCTACCTCAGCCTCCAGCGTAGCTGGGATTATAGGAGCTGGATTACCACAGAGCTGGATCTAATATTCTTACTCCCCAAGACCAAAAGAGGGCCTTTTCTTTCTTTCTTTTTTTTTTTTTAAGGGGCAGTGCTTTTCACCTCGGAGTAAGAATCCTAGCCAGGTGTTGGGGTGCTGTCCTTTAACCAAAGTCACTTTGATAGAGAAAGGGATTGGGGACCACACCTGAGGCTGGGCATGAGGATAGGTGCAGGCGCATTTAGGACGCCCGAAACAAATCTCCAGCTCCGCTTTGCTCAGAGGCAGCCCACAGGAAGCGGGGCTTTCCTAGACCGGTTCCTCATTTGACCAAGTTTACAAAGAGTGTGGGTTTTTCGCGTGCTTAGCTGAATGAGGCTGACAGACGCAGGGAGGCCGAGTACACCGAGTGTGAGATCGCAGACCCACTGCTCTTCTCCTGGTCCTAAAGATCCGGGCTGCGAACTACCTAGGACGCGCGAGCACCTAGAGCACCGCACCGGGCGAGGCTGAGTGGAAGGAGCTTGCCCAGGAGGGGCGGGACAGCTGGTGGGCGGGACAGCCGGTGGGCGGGACAGCTGGTGGGCGGGACAGCCGGTGGGCGGGGCTTCCTGGGAGGGCGGGGCGGGGCCGGATCGGGGGCTCTAGGAGACCGGCGCCGCGTGGTGCGTGCGTAGCAGGGCCCTTCGCGCGCTGGCCTTCAGACGCTCCGAGGAACATGGCCCTTTCTTTGGGAGAAGAGATCAGGCCCGCCCCAGTGGCTGGTTCGGGCGATGAACCTGGAGCAGCCAACCGGCCGGAAAGAAGGCTGGGTCGGTCAGGCCAAGCTCTCTCTTTGAGGCGATGTTCCTGCTGACCCCAGGTGAAAAACCTCATCCGGTCCGGGGAGAACCCCAGAGGAGGGTGGGGCCTCCGCGTGCTCCGAATAGTTGGTAAGAGTACCGGAGTCAGGGCGTGGGATTTGGGTAAGTTGTAAATGGGAACGGGGCCCCGCCTTGAATCAACGACCTAGGTACCTTGTGAAATTTAGCAGGGATCCTGGTAAGGGTGGGAGGACCCAGCGAGGCGAGCCCCAGGGTGGCCCCTGAGTCAGCAGGGCTCAGCTCTTCGTGAATCTCGGTAAGCCCTGTAGCTTGTGAATGGTTGGGATGAAGTCAGAAGCTTCAGGCTTGGTGGTGGGTGGGGAGCCAGGGGCATCCCAATGCCGACTCTTGGGTGGCCTTCAGGCACAGCGTTCTGTGGGCACTGGCTTGGGCACGTAGAGCTGTGCAGATGGGCCATCCAACAGCTCCCTGGGGACCTCAGAGGGTGAGGCTGGGCAGTGTGAGGACCAGTGGGATTGGTCGGAACATTGTGAAGTCACAGAGGAAGTGAGGTGCTGCAGCTGGGTTCTGGGGCTGCTGTCTAGGGACAGGGACTTGGTGGCCCTGACAGTCTCAGTGCACTCTGCCTGTGGAAGGGAGCTTCTGGCATCATATCTGGTGCCCGAGGTGGACTGACTAGTCAGGTGAGGACGCCCTGCCACAAGGGTGCCTCCCTGTCCTACACTGAAATGAAAACAGTCCCATGTCCACCCTCCTGAAGCCTGAATGCCACCCACTATGTGGAAGGAAAGCAGTTGTGAAACAGAGTGGCACATCTCACTGTCTCCATTTTCTCTGTTTCCCCAGCAGACCACCCTTGCTCTGCCCAAGCCCAGTCCTGAGAGCTTTTTGTTCCTCCTGAGTAGCTGGCATCCAGGACTTGGGGTACCACAGCTCTGGAGAGTATGCACTGGAGAGCAGATATGTCTGGAAGATGAACCCCTGACTCCCATCCTCCTCCTCCTGCAGATGCTGAGGCCTCCATGGCTGTAATAAGCCTGCTGTTCTTGGCAGTCATGTATGTGGTTCACCACCCCCTGATGGTCAGTGACCGGATGGACCTGGACACACTAGCCAGGAGCCGGCAGCTGGAAAAGCGGCTGAGTGAGGAGATGCGGCAGTTGGACATAGAGTTTGAAGAGAGGAAGCTAGCAGCTGAGCAGAAACAGAAGGCAGAGGACTTCTGGCGAGGAGACAGATCCAAGGACCAGTTAGTGCTGGGGAAGAAAGACCAGGGGTGGCCGTTCCAGGCTGCTGGCCAGGAGGGGCCTCTGGGCTGGATGCTGGGAAACCTGTGGAATGCTGGCCTCTTTTGCCTCTTTCTCATCTTTGAGCTCCTCCGGCAGAGCATGCAGCATGAGCCGGCCTTTGATTCCAGCAGTGATGAGGAGGAGGAAGTCCGGGTTATATCTGTCCTCTCTTCCAACTGGCTTGCTAACTTCCCCTCCCAGGAGGCCCTGGAATCCTTTTACAAACAGCACATCCACAATGCCATACGGGACCTGTCCAGCACCTGCGAGTTCGTGGAGAGCTTTGTGGATGACCTGATAGAGGCCTGTCGGGTGCTCAGCCGGCCGGAAGCTCACCTGCAGTTGGAGGACTGCCTGGGCATTGGGGCTGCCTTTGAAAAGTGTGGAATCCTCCATGAGACCCAGAAATTTGAAGTCCTGGTGCCAGTTGTTCCGCCACAGGGCACTATGTTTGTCTTGGAGATGAGGGATCCAGCCCTTGGCCACCGCTGTGGCAGTGTGCTGGTGGAGTCTGAATGCGTGTGCAAGCGCGAGAAGCTCCTGGGGGACGTGTTGTGTCTGGTGCACCACCAGAGGGACCCCTTGGGGGGCTCAGGCAAGTGTAACAGCTCCATCAAGGCATCTTTCTGCACCGGCGTCCACCTGGATGTGTGCAAAACTGTGCAGTGGTTCCAGAGCATGGTGGGCAACGCCTGGGCACTAGTGGCCCACAAGTATGACTTTAAGCTCAGTCTCCCACCATCTGCCACCTCCTGTAGGCTCAGGCTGGACTACCGCTCGGGCCGTGTTCTCTTTATCAGTTTGGTCCTGGGTGTGCAGCGGGAGGACACCTTGGTCTACCTGGTGAGTCAGGCCCCTGAGCAGGAACGGCTCACCAGTGTGCACTGGCCGGAGTCCTTCGCAGCCTGCGAGCACCTGTTCCTGAAGCTGGTAGGACGCTTTGCCCCTGAGAATACCTGCCACCTCAAGTGTCTCCAGATTGTTTTGAGTCTCCGGGACTGCCAGAGGCTACCCAAGGGGGCGTCCCGCCCCATCCTCACCTCCTACCACTTCAAAACAGCCCTCATGCACCTGTTGCTACAGCTGCCCCTCACGGACTGGCAGCACAGCATGCTCTCTCAGCGGCTCCAGGATCTTCTGTGGTTCTTGGGCCGGGGCCTCCAGCAAAGATCCCTCCACCATTTCCTTATTGGTAACCCCTTCCTGCCCCTGACCATACCGATTCCCAAGACATTTCGGAATGCTGAGCCTGTGAATCTCTTCCAGCACCTGGTGCTAAACTCCACGGCACACAGGCAGGCTGTAGAAGAGTTCCAGAACCTCCTCACCCAGCTCAAAACTCTGCCCTGTGCCCCACTGGCTGGGGTATCTTAATATAAAGGCTACTTTAAAAATGAGAGGAGTTATTTCTAATTCTTCTAGCTACAAAAGTTTATTTTTCACATATGTCAGTGGTGTATGGGACCTTCACCTTGTGAGTAGGGGGCAGCGATGATAGAATAAGACACTTTAATAAGTAGGTAAGATGGCTATGGGAACCTAATTTAGGGTGGGGTTGAACTTTTCTTTTTTTTTTTTCTTTGTGGTACCGGGGATTGAACTCAGGACCCTGCGCTTGTCAGGCAAGCACTTATTCTACTGAGCTATCTCCCTGGCCCTCGAGCTTTTCTTCTATCTTTCATCATAACCCAGAGACAGTCCCGAGAAACAGATGTAATGAGAGGATCTTGCTGCTAAGGAGCTGAAAAGCTGTGAAGTTGTATTTCTGTATCAACACTGAAAGTCCAAGAAAACCAGAGAATACCTCTATCCTGGCTTACTCCTTTTTGTGAATGACTCCCAAATGTTCGTCGTGAGTGGTTTCTGTGTTGAACTGTTAGCTGAATTCCTATCTATGCTGTGGCACTCCATTCCAGTACTGTGGTGGCAACTTCTACTTTAGGATCTAATTTTTTAGACCTTCAGTATTTGAGAATATAACCAAGATGCTTTGTATTTTCTTAGTCCAATTTTCGTATGACATGGCTGTTTTTATACACTTAAGAAAAGAAATTCTAGTACTACCCAAATAATTGGGTATAATACAAATATTACAATGCAAAATAACACATTTATTAACATTGATTCACAAACAATATTATCTCAGTGGTAACCTGTCACATGGTTGAGAGAATGTATTTCCCCTAATTAATGGGAACAGCATTGCAAAGCTGCTCATGAGGACAAGCTTTCTGGGGCTTCTGAGATGAATTTATGAGTGAGAGCTGCTTATTAATTAAATGTAAAGCATTAGCTACCATGTGGAGCTGTGCATTTTCTGATTGTGCCTTTGAATTCTCCTTTCAAATATGACAGAGGGATTATTGAATATGGCTATGGTTTTGAAAAGAGGGGTTATCACAATGCAGGCCCATTGCCAGGGCTGGATAGGAAGGGACTATAAAGCATTCAACTCCAACTGTGTCCTGATCCTAGAGATAGGATTCGTGTATTTTCTTGAGCATCCTGAGGAGGCCTAAGAAGCAGTTGTGGGTGTGGTTGTTTTGGAACTAGCACTGCTGTTCCTGCCTACCACTGCCAGGAAGATCTGCTGGGGAGGAGAACCTGGCCCCACATTGGACTTGGCTCGGTGGGGATCAGATGCTGGTTTTAAGGCCTCTGTTGTGGAATCTACACCCCACCTCCGGAGAAAAGTATCCTGGAAGCTGATATCAGCCAATATTTAAGACTCCTGCTGCACAGTAGCTACTGTTTTCCATGTCATTTGCTGGCATCTGACAGATACTACTTTCAAAGTAAGATATGATGATGGTTCCCCCTATGCTGGGGGAAATGCAGTGTTTTGAAAAACATTTGTGTATTTTTCATTTAGAAAATGTGCTTATCTTAGAGAGATAAGCACCTACCTGGCAAGCACAAGGATCCAAGTTCAATCCCCGGCCCTGCATGCTGGGGATGCAGGCACCTACCGTGTGGCTCCAGAACCAGTCGTGGTGGGCATCCCTGTAGTCTCAGCACTTGGGAGGTTGAGCCAGGAGGATCTCTGTGAGTTTGAGACCAGCCTGGGGGCTACAAGAATGAATACAAGGCCAGCCCGAACTGCATAGTGAGACCTTGTCTCAAATCCTTTGCTGGGTGTTTTCCTTCCAATCAATAAAGGAGGCTGTTTTCCTGTATCAATTAGAATCTGTGCAAGAACACACTCAGCAGATCAACATTCGCACATACTTGTTCCTAAGAAGTTCATGTTACCCTGATAATTCCATCCAGTACATCCTGGTCTTTCTCAATGTACTTTAAACCAGTCTGCCCTGTGGTTTCCTAGCAGCATGGCCAGTAGCCAGGAAAGAATCATTCAGAAAGTTAAGGAACATCTAGGTCATTAGTTTTCATGGTATGTCCAAACCAAAATAAAAGCTCTTAGTACCTACAAACAGCATACACAAGCTCTAGAAGTCTGTGCAGGTAGAAAGAAGGTGTGATTTCTAGGTCTGGATGTTTCTGGTCTAAAAGTTTTTTTAAAACAAAAGTTATGCGTAGGCAGACAAAAGGGAGCAGTCAGCGAAGTTTGGGTGGGGCAGAAGGTACAAGAAAGCACACAAAGGAAAACAACAACAAGTAGTAATGGAAAGAACAGACCTGTAGTGCTCTGGGAATACTCTCACAATTAGGGGGGAACCTCTCCAGATATTTAGGAAGCTATGTTTTATTTTGAAATAAAACCTGGCAAACACCCAAGATGCAACAGTACTTCTAGTAATGGGAATATTTAGTGTGCACTGGGCATTGCCAATGGTCTGGCCACTGTTTGAACTGCTTTAGAGTTGGTAATTCATGTATTATAACCCCAGCAAATGAACCCTCTGACCCCCTTATTTACATCTGATGAAACTCAGGCAAGTAAAGGGTATGCAGTTTTCCCTGGCACTGCTAGTTAAGGGGCACACCTGGAAGAAAGTACCTTCCCTAACAACTCTATGTGCTCTTGAGAATAACATCTAGGGGTTAATTTTTTTTTTTTAGGGGGAAGAAAAGCTGTACATGTAAGATACAGAAGTATGTTATTGTTTGGAAATTCTAGAAGAGAAAAATTGTTGGTTCTTAGCCCAGTCTTTAGGAGGTTAGGAATTTCCTATTGAATACGAAAATTAAAGGCATTCACTCTGCGGCCACAATGAATGCAAAGCCATTTCAACTACGTGACCATTTTGTCCTAGCAGCTTGATGGTTTAAATCAGGAACTACATTATGATACTAGGCAGCTGCAGGCTGGAAAGTCAGCCAGTTTGATGCCAAAAGTTTGCTTATTCAAGTAGTTTGCTCCTTCAGAATTGATTAATCTGTTCCTCACCTATACTGAGGCTTCCCCTTTAAGGAAGAAGATCCCTGTGAGTACAATGGGGGAGGGTGGGCGAGGACCCCCACTACTTTACTTCTGTGCAGACACAGGAATTGAGCTTCGCATGCCAGTGATACCACCACTGACAGATCATTCAATCTTTTGGCACCCTCTGTAATCCTAGCCCTCAAACAAAGAAGGCATTCACAGTAGGAGGGAAAAGACCTGCGTGCATTTGGTGAGTCCAGCTTTCAAGAGACACTGGCTATGGAGCTGGCTCTGCCTCCCTGCACAAAGAGCACCCAAGCAGTCAGCTTATAGGGGCTCCATGCTCATGACAGAAGAGCCTCAGGCCTCTTCTGGGTTCCCAACCAGTTCTTCTAGGGCTTCCAATTCAGTGCCTCCCACCACCCTTTCAGCTCTTGGTGTTTAGTGTATATGTGGAATCCAGTGATTCACACCTCTTGCTATCTCTCAGAGGCACTCAGCACAGAGAACAAGCTAAGGGAGAGAAGTGACAGGCCCCTAGCATTCACTGTGCCTCCATGGTTACAGAGTGTTGGAACTGTTCCCTAGTCCTAATGCAGTCCAATGAAGGCGGTACTGCTATCCACATTTCACTGGTGGGGAACATATCCAACCCAGGATTTTGGGGAGGGGGCAAAGGATTGAATCTTGGATCCCAAGCCAGGGTTTAACTTGCCTCTTCATTGTGCCTACTCGATGCATATTTAAGTACTGATTGTGTCCCAGGCCAGCATCAGGGGCTCAGAAAATGATGGTACGCAAAGACAACTCTGTCCTCATGGAGGTGACAGTCTATATCAGGGGCAGGCCTGAGAGTCTATGTAGAATTGCACCAAGGACCAAGTTCTACTGAAGCCTCCAGCAAAACATATCAGGGAAAGCCTCCCTTAGGCAGTGACAGCAAATGTAGAATTACACCAGGGACAAGTTCTACTGAAGCCTCCAGCAAGGAGTCTGCAATGTATCAGGCAGGTAGTGACAGCAGCTGAATGGAAATAACTAGGTGACAAAGATGAAAAGGATCCTAGGGTGGAAGAGAGCACACGTGCAGAGGCTCTAGGGGTGGCACTGGACACAGTGAGGCCAAGTCTGAACAAAAGGCCAGTACTGTCTGGGCATAGTGGCACATACCCTCAGCTCCTCAGCAGGCTGAGGCAGGAGGAACACAAGTTGGAAGCCAACCTCAGCAACTTAGAAGGACCCTGTCGCAAATGAAATACAAAGGGCTGGAGCAACAGCTCAGTGACAAGGGCACTTGCCTAGCATGTTGCAGATCCCTGGGTCCAATTCCTAGAGGGGTGGGGGTAGAAGGAAAGAAAGGTTAGCACTGCAAGATTTTTAGAAGACAAAAAAATAAGGGCCAGGGCTGGCAAGATAGCTCAGCAGATTAAGCACCTGCTTAGGCAAGTGCAGGGACTGGGGTTCCATGCCCGGCACCACATGTTGCACCCAGGCGAGCTGAGCCGGCCATGGAGTCTGGGCATGGTGGTGTATACCTGTAATCCCCGTGCCGGGGAGGCTAAAAACAGGAGGATCACTGAGTCTGAGCTGTGTAGTGAGACCCTGTACCAAAAACATCAAGTAAAAAAAAAAAAAAAAAAAAAAAGCCACTAGAGGGCAATGAGCAAGGGGTTGGTGTGAGGGCCAAGGTACAAGAGGCTGGAAGGGCCATGGGGCCAGACCCTGCAGGGCCTCGTGAGCCCCCAAGAAGGCCCAGGACAAGGAAACTTTTGAAGGACTTTAGAATTCTGGGAGGAAGGCAGGGGCAAGTGGAAATGACAGATCAGATTTGTATTTAGGAAATACCCCTCTGGGCCCCCTAAGAAAGGGCTAGAACAGAGCAACAAGAAGGTCATGTGGATGTCAGGAGGACTTTCAGCTTGAAAGGGATTTTTAGGAGACAAAAAGTCAGATAAAGGTTTGTGAGTGAAGTGGGGGTAGGAGTCATTCAGGATGACTCTAGCTGCTGACTTGGGTTTCTGGGGGCAGGTGGTATCCAGCATTTGCTGAGGTGAAGAACGCCGTGTTTTTCCTGTGTCCACACTGCCTGACACACAGATTTGATGGTGAACCTTGAGAGAACAAGTTCATGCAAAAACAAATAGCTTTAATAGGGCAATACTGACAGTTGCCAAAATGAGGTGCTTATGACACTCCATGGCGCTAAGTCGTTCTACAAAGAGAGCAAATGTCCCTGCACTCTGGATGCCAACAGCATGCTGGAGGAGAAACAATAGAACATGCTGAATGCATGAATCATAAGAAAACAGAGGATGTTCTACGGCCGATCTGAGGGAATTGCCCTGGCCTTTCCTCCCATAATTAAGATTCTTGAGCTCAGATAAAGCTGAATGGACAGGCTGTTGTCTCCCTCGTTTTTTTACACTGAGCTCCATTCCGACTTTATTTATTTATTTATTTACTTATTTATTTTGGTGATGGGGATTGAAACCAGATCCTTCCGAGTACTAAGCAACACTATACTAAGCTACACCCTCGGCCTTCCAAGATTTTTTTTTTTTGAAGGGTGTGGGTTGCCAGGAGGCTTATCCCGAAAATCTGAAAAAAAACGATGGTTTTCAAGTCAACCCTCAACACGCTTCATTCCAAGGTCGGGTCTCTTTCTCCTCCGTCCACACCCCGTCCTTATACCTCTTTAGCGTTTTGCCGCCTTCACAGCACAGGTCTCCGCGGGGGAAACGAAGCTGTTTCCTTCGTCACCCTCCTCCCCATTAGGAACTACATTCCATGGAAAAAGAGCCCTTGCCCGCCAGCTCCGCGTTAGGTTCCCAGCGCCCTGTTCTGGCCGTAGCGTTTGGAAGGAGGGGAATCTCGTATTATTTCAGGGTGTCCATGGAGCACAACCTCCAAATCTATCACTTGGCGCGCTTTAGGGGCTTATATTGCGCACCGCTCGCTTCCTCGTAGCCCGGAGCTGCACTTTGCAGGCTACCTGGGCGGTCTGCGCAGGCGCACATAGGCTCCGCCCCATGACGTCACGCGGCCGTTACGACGCTCGGGCGGCGCGGCGCGCGCAATTTAAAACCAGCTCCGGCGACCTCGAGAGCGAGATGGGACCTCCCGGGCTAGGTGAGGCCGGGCCGGCACAAGCGCAGCGAGCGGCGGGGTCTAGTGTGGAGCAGTGCCCTGCTTGGGCGCGTCGGCAGAAGGGCCCGAGCGGGGAGTGGATAAGCTTAGTCCGCTTCTCGGCCTGCGGACCGCGCGAAAGGCGGGCGCGGGGGGAGGGGAAGGCGCGCGCTCGCGGCCAATCACGATGCGGCTGCGCGCCGCGGCCGCCAGGTCCCGGCTCCCACCAGGTGTCTCAGTTTCCAAAGAGGTTTTCCTCGACGGCATGTTAGTTTCCGGGCGAAGCCGTGGATACTGCTCTGTGCTTAGCATACATGTATTTATTTTTGCATTCGTTCAAAAATACTGAGCGCTTTCTTTGTGCAGACCCTAGGTAAGGAACAAAACGTGATATTCCTGCCCTGTGGCGGAGACGCAATTCATGAAATAGTTACAGTGATTGGGACCATCCACGAATGTTTCAAGGGAGCGGTTATCAGTTATTTCAGGTGTTGCCGAATCCCACAGAGATGAGACCTGAGAAATGATCGTAGGGTTTGGCAACATAAGTGTGGTTGATCGTGACAAAGCTTTTCATGAATTGGTAGGGACGCCTGCCGGCTCAGAGGGGTTGAAACGTGAGTGGGGGGTGAGCAAATAGATACAGGAAGTATTTTTTTTTTTAACTCATTCACCTTCTGTTTTTTTTTTTTTTTTTTTTTTCACCTTCTGTTGAATAACAATGGCAAAGGCAGATTAAAGAAGATGCGGAGAATTAAGGCATGCCTCCGATTCTCGAGTTTCCTTAAGACAAATTTCTCCTGTGTTTCCTATTTCTGCTGAGGTCTCTTTTAGGAAGGTTCAGTTCACCTCTATTCTGCAGCACCCATATCCGAATGGTTGTAAAATGTTCGATTTTGTTCCTAAACATTTCTTTCTTGTTTTGAGCGTAGGTGAGAGTTACCTTAGTCACTTTTTTTTTTTTTTTTTTTTTTTTTTTTTTTGGCGGAACCGGGGATTGAACTCAGGCCCTTGCGCTTGCCAGGGGAGCGCTTATTCCACTGAGCCATCTCCCTGGCCCCACCTTAGTCACTCTTGAGCTGGCGGGAAGCCATAAGGGGAATGCTTGAGGTCCTTGTATTTATTCCTTTTTTCCTCTGTTCACTCCTATGCCACTCACCTCACATGGGCAACCATTTAGGTTTTCCATGTAGCATTTTGGTGTGTTTGTGTAATGTCTGCATTGCCCATTGTGAACCAGCTAAGGTGTGTGTGTGTGGTGGGGACCAAACCTAGGGCTTGAACATGCTAGGTAAGTGCTCTACACTTACACTCTTACTTAAAATTTCGCCAGCTAGTGATGAGCAAGGGTTAAAGCAAGGCCTTCTGATTCTTAAATCTGGAAACTTTCCCTCTAGTAAGATTCCGAGTTCCTTTATTGCTCTTCTAGGAATATTGTTTTGTCTAACTATAATAGGCCCTAGCCACCATAGTCATACCTCGGATCTTTTTTATTTTGGTTTGTTTTTGGAGTAGGAATTGAATCTAGGGCCCCACAAATGCATGTTAGGCAGGTTCTATACCACTGAGCTACATCCCCAACCTTTTTTCTAAAAGTTTATTTTGAAGCAGGATCTTGCTAAGTTGTCCAGGCAGGTCTCAAACTTGAGATCCTCTTGCCTCTACCTCCTGAGTAGCTTGAATTGCAGATGTGTGTCACCACACTTAGTTGCCCAGTTAGAATCCTGTTACTACCATTAGTTGCACACTTTGTTCCCTCTTTTTTCTTTTTGAGACAGAGTTGCTATATAGTCCAGGCTGGCCTTGAACTCACTCTGTAGCCCAGACTGGCCTCAAACTCCTCTCAATCCTCGTGCCTCAGCCTTGTCACCTCTATTTTAAATATTTTACTTCTCGTTACCACCCGTCTTTGTCCCTCACCTGTCTCACATCCTCATTCCCCTCTTGGTCTACATTTGGTGGTTGGTTTGTCTAATCAGGGCCTTCCCATCGCTCCTTGTACTTGTCTGACAAAAATCAAAACCCTGGCTGATTGCTACTCTACTTACTCAGCAGGCCTAATGATGGCACCAGCCCCTGCGTGTCCAACAGCAGCGAACCTCCCCCACACCCATGTATGTGGGCTCCAGGATACCCTAACCTCCCAGCAGGTGTGCTTTGTTTCCTGGTTCATGTACTCTCCTGCTCCTAGATTGATTTCACACTTTCCCTTCTCCCTCAGGCATGTTTTGTTTTTGTTTTTTTGAGACAGGGTTTCACTACACAGTTCAGGCTGGCCTTGAGGTCACTTTGTGGCCCAGGCTGGTCTCAGACTCTCAGCAATCCTGCCCCAGCTTCCCATTCCTATGCGAACAGAGGCAGAAACACGTCTGAGTGCTGGGATTACAGGTGTGCACCATCACACTGGACTAAAAATGTACCTATTTATAATGAAAGTAAAAGCAATAAAAAAAGGTCATAGAGCCAGCAGTGGTGGTGCACAGCTGTATTCCCAACACTTGGGAGGCTGTCTTGTGTCCAACCTGAGCAATTTAGCTAGATCCTGTCTCAAAACAAAAAATGGCTGGGGTTGTAGTTTAATGCAAAGGTCCTGGGTTCAACCCCCAGTTCTGCAAAAAGGAGAAAGCAAAAAGAAACCTAGAACATCTGCAAGCCCACCCTTTTAGCTGCTGCCCTGTCTGCACCAGTGTCTGCATGTGTTGCCTTTCCTCCCATTTGTGCACTCAACTGAATCATCCCCTTTACCTAATCAAGTAAGTTGTTCAGTAACTTTCTTTTGCATGATCCCTGTGGTAGGCCAAATAATGCTGCCCGTGTCAGTGGCGGAAGGGACTTCTCAGGTGTCATGAGGGTGAGGGTCTTGAGATGAGGAGGTGGACCTGGCTCATCCCAGTGGTCTCAGAATGGGTAGGGAGGTGAGAGTTGGAAGATGCAACCATAATGGGGAGAGGTAAGAGGATCGAAGGGAGGGGCCAGAGCCGAGCAGTAGGAAGCCTTTTGGAAAAGGCAAGCCAACAGTTTATTCCTGAAACTTCTGGAAAGAATTCACACTGCTGGCATTTTGATTCTAGACTTCTAACCTCCAGACCTATGAGAGAGTGCGTGCGTGCATGCATGTGTGTGTGTGTGTGTGCTAATCTTGTGATTATCTTGCTCCAGCAGCGGTAGAAAACTGATCCCATCTCTTTGCTTCGTTTTCTTTACTGTGCTGGTTTGTTGTATTTTGCTTGTTAACAGTTGTTTCTTGGCTTTCATCCTTTCTTTTTTGCAGCAAAGTCTTTGGAGATCTTGTGTGCCTTTGCAGCCTCCAGGTTCTCTCCTCTTGTCCTCCCTGAGTCCATTCCAGATTGGCTTCCTCCCCTGCTGCGCTAGGAACGCTGCTCCTGCCATCTCCAGTACCTAGGTCGCGGCTCCACACTCAGCTCTCAGTTCTTACCTGATTGGCTCTGTCAGCTGCAGGTGACAGAGGTCATTACTCCTTTCTCAGCTGCAGCAATGTGGTCACCTGCCTCCCTCCCCCAGTACTGAGGATGGAACCCGAGGCCTCACACTGAGCTACGACCTCAGCCCCCTTTCTGATTAGTTCATTAATTTACTTTGAGATGGTCTCACTAAGTCACTGCTGCCCACTTGGGGTCCAGGGAAGATTTTCGCAGGTGAGATCCCAAGGCCAAGGAACACACATGTGCAAGATACCAGCAACCACATCAGGCAGCGTAGAGCAGAGCAGAGAGCCAGCGCGAGAGCCGCCTGCATCTTGATTGTATAAATCTTGACCAGGTTGTTTCGTGTTTACATTCTTATGCAACTGTGTATCACATGCACAGTTACCTGTGCTGTCTTAATTACTTAACTCTAGCCCACCGTGTACCTGCAGTAGACAAGTGGGGTCACATCCTCAGGTGTCTTTAGACGCTCCTGAGCTTTGTAGCAGTCTGAGTGGTTCCCTACAGTCACTAAGTTGTTCACATTAGGCTTAAATTTAGAACTTTCCTGCCTCAGCCCCCCAAGTGCTGTGATTACAGGTGTGTACTACCATGCCTGGCCCACTGGGGTTTTAGAATGCCACATCCCCTAGCTTTCTCCTGCCTTCCTCATCTCCTTTCCTCTTTCTGCATTCTTCCTGCTGGTTCTGCTTTGAAAGTGTCCCAGCACTGCCTTCAGCTTTCACTCTATCTTTACTTACTTGGGAGCTCATCCAGTGTTAGGAATTTAAATATGCCCTATGCAGTAACCTCTCCCCTGAGTTCTAGAATTAAATCCAAATGCCCTGTCCTTTGGTTGGTTAGGAAGCATTCCAGGCCTAGAGCCTCTGCACCCCCAAGATTTGCTGCTCCCTGGGCCTCCTCTCCCAGCCTCTGGCAGTTCCTTCCTTAGGTATGGGATGACCCTGGACCTAGCCTGGTCTTCATGCTGCATGTATGATGCAATAGGAAGTTACGCTGTTCTGTTCGGTCTGGAGACCCTGTGGGGGGTCTGGACATTTCTTCCTTCCTGCACCGATACCTTTGGTCTGAGTCACCAACATCTGTCCTAGTTACTGGCCGTTACCTTCCTGCTTGTCTGCTCGTGTTCCCTTTTCAAGCTGCTCTTACTATGATAGCGCAGAACCTTCTGAAAGCAGGAGTTAGATCCCTTTATTACTCTCACCAGTTTTCAGTCCTTCCCCTCCCACTTTTTTTGGAAGGAAGACTGCACCAGCCCACGCATGAGCCTCCTTTGCCCCACGCTTGTCCTACCCTATCCTGACGTGTTCCTGCTCCACCTGGCCTGCAGTCCGTGTGCTGACACCTTACCTCTCAACACACCCCACACATGCTGGCTGGCCTGTTCTGCCTTCATACTCACTGTGCCCTCTGCTTCTGGCAGGTCCCCTGGGTGTCTGATGTTCCCTTCCTGGTGAGCCCTTCCTGACCACTGTGATTAAGATGACTGCCCCCTGCACCCCCAGTCTCTGAGCCCCTTCTACTGTGCCTTTCTCTATAATGTTTATGTCCATCTTACATGTCATACATTTTCTAACATCTTATGAAAATGTTCAGATATACAGGAAAATTGGGAGGCCCAGACATAAAACAGCCCATATATAGGTCTAGTAGTCATTAACATTTTGCCATCTTTTTTATCAGAGCAATTGAAAGTAAGTTGCACACATCCTTCACCCCTAAATTGTTTCTCACGCATATCCTGACCATAATGACCTTTTCTGTAGTGACAGTAATGACCACACCAGAGACAAAGATCAGTTCCTTAATGTTACCTGGTCTCTAGGCTATGCTGCAAGTTTTCCTAATTATCTGTAAAATGTCACAGCTGATTTTTTTTTTAAAGCAAGGACTGGCTAAAAACATATATATGTTGTTTTTGGCTTATAAGACTTTTCTGCAAGGTCCTGAGTTCAATCCCTGGTACCACAAAAAAAAAAAAAAAAAAAAAAGACTTCTGTTAACCCAGAAGATTGCCTACGTGCATGCACACAAACAGGAGGCAGAACACAGGGCCTTACCATGCTAGGGAAGAACAGCTTTGGTGCCTAACCATATCTCCAACCTTTTGAAAACATTTTTCTTAAGAATCTGGGGGGCTGGTGAGATGGCTCAGTGGTCTAAAGCACCTACTTGGAACAAGCTTAGCAAAGCACAGGGACCGCGGTTCAATCCCCAGCACCACATGCCAGCCAGCCCCGCCCCCTGGTGGGCTGAGCTGGCCACACACACACACACACACACACACACACATAAATAAATAAAATTTAAAAAAAAAAAAAAAAAAAAAAAAAGAATCTGGGCCTCCGGGCTGGGGAGATGGCTCAGTGGAATAAGTGCTTCCCTGGCAAGCACAAGGGCCTGAGTTCAATCCCCAGTTCAGGAAAAAAAAAAAAAAAAAGAATCTGGGTCTCCCCTCCCTAACAGCCTGCACTGGACTTGAAATTGTAGTCCTCCTCTGACGGCATCAACACTGACTTCAAAAGAAACAGAAGCGTTGTCATTTATATTCCCCATTTTACTTTTTTTTTTTTTAAAGGTATTTAGTATAGGGTCTCACTACACAGACTGGACTCCTGTTTTTCAGCCTCTCAAGCACTGGGATTATATGTGTGTACCACCACACCCAGTCTCAGTCATTGTCTCAGCTTGCCCAGGGAATAGGCCTTTTTTTTTTTTTTTTAAAAGACAAGGTCTCACTGTGCAGTTCAGGCTGGCCTTGAACTTGCTTATGTAACCTAAGCTGACCTCAAACTCATGATCTTCCACCCTCAGCCTCCCGAGTGCTGGGATTACAGGTGTGCACCACCATGCCTGGCCCCCATTCCAAATTTGTTTAGATGTCTTCTTGTAATATTATTCAACTTGTTTCTCAACTTCTTGTATTCTTCACCAGCTGGAAGTTAGATCTAATGTGTTGGTTAAATTTAGGTTAAGTATGTTTGGGCAAAATTTGTCCTGAACAGGGCTATGAATTTCAGATTGTATCATATGGGGAGATGAGTAAGCTTCAGGATATTTCATTTTTAGTGAGGAGGCATTTGGCTGCTTGGTTAGTGTGGTGACTGCTAGATCTTCCACTGTAAAGACATTTTCTTCTCAGCAAGCAATCTGTGGGAGGCTCTTTGGACCACATTCTTCTTTTCTTTACAGCTCGACAGTATTTACTCTGTGTCTCGCTGTTAAGACCCCTGGGGAGCTGGAATTAGAACCCAGCCTGACTGGCAGTAGCAAACCTCACTCCTGCCTAGTACCTGTAGCTTCCTTGCCTTTGGCGTTGCGGGTGACAGGGGTCTGTTGTCCTGCTGATGTGTGAGCTGGTCAGCCATCAGTGTTGCTGCCACAACCCCTTCTTCCTCCTGTGGTGCTGGAGATGGGCCCCAGGGCCTCACATATGGTAGGAAGGTGCTGTCCCCCTGGGCTGTGCCACCAGTCCTGTCTTACACTTTTTTATATCCTTTACAATGCTTGGCTTCACAGTGCTGATACTTGTTCTATCCCCACCGCTCTCCCCACAAGTAACAGACTCTAGGGATTCTGGCATTGGCTGTAAGAGCTGAGGGGCTCAAGGCACTGTGCAGCGGCCTCGGCTCGGGATAGCCCCAGCCAGGTCTCTTAGGTACGGGAGATGTTCTGCTGCAGGTTTCTTGAGCACATGTTTTGTTCCATCACTGCCAGCCACAATGAGCAAGTCTTCAGAGAGCCGTGGACATCCCCACAGTGCCAGCTCCCCTTCGGAAAGGGGGTTCTCTATCCCCGTGCCCCGGAAGGCTCCTCTCAATACCCCTGGCACCCCGGTCCTTGAGAACTTTCCGCAGAATGATGATGAGAAGGAGCGACTGGAGCGGAGGCGCTCCAGGGTCTTTGACCTGCAGTTCAGCACAGACTCACCTCACCTCCTCTCCTCCCCCTCCAGCAGGTGACTGGGCTTTGGGTGGGCTGCTTGGGTCTGGGCATCTGCAGTGCCTTGTGGATTCTGGGTCTGGGGTTTTTTGTTTTGTTTTGTTTTGTTTTTGGACTGGGACTTGAATTCAGGACCTTGCGCTTGCCACGGAGCTTTATCGCCAGCCTGGGTCTGGGTTTTGAAAAGGTATATATTGTGTTCACTGTTGAGGTTTTTTGTTTTTGTTTCTGTTATCCTTTTAGGAATGTTGATGTTTCAGCTACAATTCCTAAATTTACAAACACCCAGATTACAGAGCATTACTCCACATGTATCAAGCTGTCTACTGAAAACGTGAGTATTTGTTGGGTTGCAGCTGCAAATTTTGCACCTTGATCACAGAGAAACCTAGCTTTTTTGAATTTGAGGAGAATGTGTGAAAGTTATTGTGTTCTCCAGTGTTGCTTCCTGGTGCTGGTGTCACTCAGGATGGTTTTGACCTTTGGCGCTCCTCTGTGCAGGTGGCATGCTACCTGCTGTGTGTTTAGAGAGGAGCATGGCCCGGGTTCACGTGTATTGTGGATCAGCCTGAGTGGAGCCCTGTCTCCTGTCTGTCACTTAGGAGCTGTGTGACTGATGCGTCACCACTTGCTCTGCTGTATCCCCCTACTGCTTTGGTGTTTTGAAACAGTCTTACTGTGTAGTTCAGGCTGCCCTCACTTGAGGCCATCCTCCTGCTGCAGCCTCCTGAGTGTTGGGTTACATCTGTGTACCATTAATACCCACCTCCTCTTAAGTGAGAATGAGGACAGTGCCTGCCTAGTAGGGCTTTGTATGCATGATTTTGCCTTGAGGCAGAAGTGTGTATAGCTGTGGTTTTGTTGTCAAGTAGTCCTGAAAACTGAGATCTGGGCAGGAAGTAAACAGCCTATATAAAAACTTCCTCTATTCAGAGAAGCAGTATTCATGTAACCTCAGGCTCTAAATAATAAACCTTGCTACAATTTTCTGTTTCTAGAAAATCACTACCAAGAATGCTTTCGGCTTGCACTTGATTGATTTTATGTCAGAGATCCTTAAACAGAAGGACACCGAACCAACCAACTTTAAAGTAAGAAGGACTGCATGTCCTTTCCTGTCTGATTACTGTTATTTCTGAATTCAGAGAAGACATGAGAGCCTTCCGGGTGAAACAGCGTAGTAGCTACTTCACTTTGTTTCCTCAGTGGATTAAATTGCAGAGACACAGCTGTGTTTACTCCCCACCAGTCTGTCATTTTTCTCAGGACATACAAATGCCTTATGAAACTTGCTGATTTTTGCCTGTTGTGAAGTCCTTTTTTCTGCCTCTTCATGAATCTAGCTCTGCTGGTTTGACTAGGTAGCTGCTGGTACCCTGGACGCCAGCACCAAAATCTATGCTGTACGTGTAGATGTCGTCCATGCTGATGCATACAGAGTCTTGGGGGGGCTTGGCAAAGACGCCCCATCTGTGGAAGAAGCAGAGGACCCTGGTACAGGTGTGTGGGTTGGGATTTAAGGCTTCTTTAGGGTGCACCAGGTAGTTATGAGGGTTATATGGTAAAGTCCCAAGAAACCCGTTATTTTATGGAAGATACAGGCATTTTCCGAATTATTCGTCAGCATTACTTCTCAGCGCTATTTCTTGTGGACCTTCGTTGTTGCTCCTCTGTGAGGTGGACTAGTTGGCAGTGCAAGTTACTTATTTTTTTGAAAAAGATGAGGATGCTATAGAAGTATTTAGCTTTTGTTCAAATGGGCTAGGTGTGGTTATGCATGTCTATAATCCCAGCACTCAGGAGGCTGAGGCAGGCAGGATTGCTGGGAGTTTGAGACCAGGCTGGCTACATAGTGAGTTCAAGGCCTGCCTGGATTACACAGTGAGACCCTATCTCCAAAAAAAAAAAAAAAAAAAAGATTTTGTTTGAAGTTGAGTAAACATCACCAACTAGAAACTTCTGACATGGGGATCTTTGGAATATGACTACATTAAAGGCCAATACTTACTCTAGTAATTGAGTTTTCTCATAAGCTGAGATTAGACAGGGCCTGTTGTATTGAGTGAATTTCACTTGTTTAAATTATGACTACTCTTGAGGGTTTTGAAGAACTTGAATTAGTGCAGTAGCATGCTCAAAGCAACCCCTGAAGTACACAGTCTTATTCCTCCTTTCAGAGGGAAGCACTGCTGAAACAGGAACAACCAGAAAGGCTCCAAAACCAAAGAAGAAGCATTCCTGCAAAACCATCGAGCAGAATATAAGCAACCTCAATGTCTCTGAAGCAGATCGAAAGTGTGAGGTGAGGAAGTGTCTCCCCAAGACGTAAGCTCTGACTCACTCAACCTCGGGCTGGGCCTCAGTGGGGCTGAGCCTGCCTGCTGCTCTGCGCTCGGAAGAAGCCCTGGGAGTAACACATTTAACTGGCATCTGTGTCATCACCCTGAGCTTCATGGTGAAGTCTGAAGGTGCTTAATTAAATTAATTAATTCAGTACAAGGTCTCGCTACTTAGCTCAGACTCATAGTGATCCTCCTGTCTCAGCCTCCCTAGCACTGGGGTTACAGGTGTGCACCACCACACCCGGGTTCAGTGGCCAGTAAGGTGCGCCCAGGGTTCCAGGGCCAGCATGGCTTGCGGTACCAAGGATCAAACCCAGGTCCTTGTGCTTGCCATGCAGGCACTTAGACCACTGAGCTATCTTCCCAGCCCTGAAGGTGCTAAATTCATCTCTTTCAGAGTACAAGAGTAGAAAAAAGATTGCAGGCTAGGTGTGGTGGTGCACGCCTGTCATCCCAGCACTCAGGAGGATGGGGCAGGATTGCTGAGAGCTTAAGGCCAGCCTGGTCTACATAGTTAAGTGCAGGACCAGTTTGAACTACATAATGAGACCCTGTCTCAAAAAAACAATGAAAAAAACCGGGTTGCAAGTTACTAAGGCATCTGGCTAGGAATTTTAGCTTTGCTTCCAGGCACACACTGCAGTGGTAAGGACAGTATTTGCTGCACACGTGACAGTTGTTGTGCACTTCCCTCAGCCTATCACCATGTCATCCTTCTTGTCACATCTAGGGAAGGGGTAACTGAAGGACAGCTGTTAAGTAATGTGCCCAGGAGATGCATCTAGAGAGTGAACTAGGATTTGAAGCTGAGGGCCTTACTTTCCTGCAAATCCTAAAGAACCCGTTTCAAGAAATTGTCCTGGAGGACTTTAAACCCCAATAAAGCGAATGATGTTGCTCCACTTTTTTCCCCCTAGATTTTGTTATTCAGTACTTTTTAAGAGGTGAGACTACAGCCAACCATGTGGAAGTACCGTAACATCCTGGAAGTCCTCTTTTGTGAATGTCTTTGTTGGCGCTGTTGTGGCTTCCTCAATGTCCTGAATGGATTTAAGATATTTACCTTATGGTCGTTTTGACTTTAGAGAAAGAACCAGAAGTTTCACAGTGCTAGTTCTGTAAATAAGGATCTGAGGACACACGGTGATTCTGAGACCCTGCCTTTCAGTTAAGTGGTACTCAGTAGCCGCATTCATTGTAGTTTTTTATTACACTTCATAAACACTCTTGAAAGAGAACTTTGAGAATTGTTTCACAAAATGGCATGAGTGACAGCCTAAGTGTGCTCAGAGCAAGTAGGGGATCTGTGAGGGGAATTAGTGGCAATGTATCAGTCACTGTAATGCATCTTAAAATTGTAAGTATTTACTATATATTTTGATTACCATTGTACATCCCCAGCCATTTTTATTTTGAGACAGAGTCCCACTAAGTTGCCCAGACTGACCTTGAATGTAGGATCCTCTGGTCCCAGATTTCCAAATAGCTGAGGTGATAGGCGTGTGTCACTATTCCCAGCCATCCTGCTTCTGGAGTGGAGTACTGCCCACACACTGCCTTTCTTTTCCACCAGGATTTGCCTGAATTAGTTGGAAGACCCTTCCCTGTCTTGATCATGGGCAGACACGTTCCAGTCCCATTTGTACCCAGGCCACCAGACCGGATCAGTGCCTGCCTTTGTGTTTCCTCTCGTTATGCTCTCCGTCTGTTCTCGTATTCAGGTGGATCCCATGTTTCAGAGGACGGCAGCCTCCTTTGATGAGTGCAGCACAGCAGGGGTGTTTCTCTCCTCCCTGTGCTGCCAGGACTACCGGAGCGAGCTGCTTTTCCCTTCCGATGCCCAGCCTCTCTCCACTGGGGAGTCCCTTGAGCTGCCAGACTTGGGCTGGGTAGAGATGGCAGACCTGAAAGGTAAGCACAGACCATGCCTGTCGCTGGAACTTTTTAGTCACCAGAGAAGTTTCTCCCGTAACTATAGGTATAGCTATAGGCGCTCATGTTGAAGTAGTCTTCAGGTGCTGCACAGTGTCCTTCAGGCAGCATTTGGCTGTGCAGGCGTGGAGTCTGAACAGTAACCCATGCCTCTGGTGTCTGCACCTCATGTCCCTGGGCACCCACCGTTCACTGCAAGTTCTGTGACTGAGCTCAGGCTAGATGCTAGGGCTTAGGATTTGCGAAGGGAGCCTAAGAGACCTGGTGGCAGAGACCTTGTTCCCATTTGCTGCACAGCCAGGAGGCCTTAAGAGGATGTTGTCAGTTGTTTTCAGGTCCCTCTGGCAGTCTGGGGACTGATCTGTCCAGTTGTTAGTCCTGTTACACCTGCTTGGCAAGATTTGAACACACACCCGTTCTACCATTCAGCCCAAGCCTGGTCTTTATAGGGTGCAGCGACAGAGAGCAGCCTGTGTAAAGTCAGACCAAGAGCTGCACTTGCCTGGAGTTTGTTCTTTAGTGGTGTTGGGAACTGAGCTTTGCACTGAGCTGTATCCTCAGTGTTTCTTTATTTTTTTATTTTGACACAGGGTCTTGGTAAGTTACGAAGGCTGGGCTCAAATTTATAATCCTCCTGCCTCAGCCTTGCGGAGTACGGTGACCACAGTGTGTGTCACTTCCCCGGCTCTGTGATCGTGTCTTACAAGTTGGATGACATTGATCCTTCTAAGCAGAGCCATGCAGATGGTACAGCACTGCATGTAACAGTGCATTCTCATCCTTTCTGCTCTTGCCTAAATTTGCTGTGTGTAACAGTTTGGAGCTCACAGTCTCCTTCCCACATTTTCTGCCTCATCTGGCTCTGATCCTCAGAAGTAGGTGGGTTTAAGACTAAAAATAATCACTGTCGCATGATGCTAGTATGCTCCCTGTGCTTTAGAGGAAGGATTTTTTGGGTTCCCCCATATTGTAGAGTGAGAGTTCATTTCTGAACCAGCCGGCTGTGCTTCAGGGGTGAGGTGGCTGTGCCTCTGGTCTCCCTTGTGCCTCTTGCTGGGAGGCGCAGGAGAGCGCCCCACCCTCTCTGAGCTCTGATCTTGCTGTGCTCCCCTGCAGCGCCCCTGCAGCAGTGTGTGGAAGATCGCCAGCTCTGCCCCGCCCTGGCCGGCTTCCAGTTCACCCAGTGGGACAGTGAGACGCATACTGAGGTGTGGTCAACGCTGGGCTTGGAAGGAAGGGCTCCAGGCGCTTCTCCCGGGTGGTGGTTTCGGTTAAACAGCTCAAGATTAGTTCTGCCCAGTGGGAACCAAAACTGTGGCATCATTTTTTATTTATCTAGGAGTACAGAAAATATTTCCTTTGGCACTTCTTTAGGGATAAAAACGTGGTTGGGATGGGGTTGTGAACCTCACTGTGGGACCACTAGGTGGCCATGCCCTTTTCAAGTGAACTTTTTTATTTTTGGTGGTGCTAAGGGTCAGGGAGATAGCTCAGTAGAATAAGGCGCAGGGTCTTGAGTTCAACCCCCGGTACCACAAAAAAAAATCCTTTTGGGTGGTGCTGAGGGTGGCTACCTGGATCTTAGGCATGCTGGGGGGGCAGGCTACTGCTGAGCTATATGTCCAGCCCTTTTGAGAAGAAACCTTAAGGTAGCACTCTCTCCAGGGTGCCAGGGCTTTGAACTTGAAATCCTCCTGTCTCAGCCTCTCAAGTACTGGGCATTACAGACATGTGCCACCACACTGGCATCAGATTTACTCTCAGACATGGTTACTCCACCGGCCTTGGTCAGGCTGCTGTCAAGTTCAGGGCACTTCCTGCTTGTTGGGGTCGAGTCCCTTGGCACACAGTTTCCTGAGAAATTGTCATGTGTATAGCCTTCCTTCGGATATTTTTAGCATGACCCCCTTTAGCCTCATTACCACAACTTCCAAAATAAACAGTCTCCATGGAAAACCATTTTCTCTACATATGCAGTTAATGGGTACAGATTCCTGTTTCATGTTTTGCAAAACATGCCTGACAATGCAGCCTCATCCTGTGCTGCACAATATAAACTTCCTCAGTGCCTGACACTTGGGAGAGTGCTGGCTCCGGAAGGCATGGGCAAGAGTGCGGTGCAGGGCAAGGAGAAGGCTGGGAGCCGGAGTGTGGGCTGAGCTGGGGCAGGCGCAGGAATGGGGACAACCAGAGAACCTGCTCTCATCCCTGCAGTCTGTGTCGGCCCTGGTGGACAAGTTCAAGAAGAACGACCAGGTGTTTGATGTTGATGCAGAGGTCGAGGAGAGTGACAGTGGGGACTTCCTCAATGGGCCCCTGGAGGATGACTTTGATGCCAACGATGAGCCCGAGCACACTACCGCAGGGGACGACGAGGACTTCAGGAGCTGGAAGGAGCCCTGCCCGGTCCAGAGCTGCCAGTAAGGCTCTCGGGTTCCCAGAATGTTCCCAGAGACACTCCCTGTCTGATGTGAACAGGTCTCCCACAGGGAGATAAGACTTTAACTCTGATTGGCCAAGCCAGTGGGCTATGTTGTGCATATCAGCAGAGCCCTGTGCCTCATGTTGGAATTAGTACTTGCATTGTGTTGGCCAAGCCACTTTGGTTATCAAGTTGGCACTGCAGAAACTAATGAGGAAAATGATTTAATACTGGAAAAAATATGTAGGCCCTAAGTTGGGCATGGTGCACCCAAGCAAGATTAAAAGGTAGTCCAGCCTGGATAATGTAGCAAGACCTGACTCTAAAAGGGCTGGGAACATAGTTTGCTGGTAAAGCACTGGCCTGAAATGCATGAGGCCTTAGTTCAATTCCCATACTGCAAAAACGGAATAACATGCCTGGTATGTGGTGGCTACACCAGGGTAGCTGTCATTCCTGCCTGCATGGGTTAGTGGAGTAGGTGCTCCCTTTCACAGACTGGGCATTTGCTGGCTTTGGCCATGTTACTGCGCAGATGTTAGCAGGCAGATGTATCACTTACAGAAAGATACAGCACTCACCAGGGAGGTGAGTAGGCAGCTGGGCAGTGCTGGTCATTAGATGACTGGCTAAGGATGAGCCGAGTAGAGTCAGGTACATGCAGTGTTGGGGGAGGCAGAGTGGAGATGGTACTGAGTGAGCTTGACGAGGAAAATGCAAAAGAACTTGGTTGCCCTTCATTAAATGTACTTGATGGGTCAGTACTGTTTAATTCTCACCAGGACTGGAGGCGAGATTTCACAACCTTTAAGTATCACAGGCTTCCAGCGTTTCTGAATGGCCATGAGCTTACAGTCCCCCTGTTAACTCCTCTGTCCATAACTGCAGCTCTGCAGGCCTCGGGTAGGAGACAGCCAGGCTGGTGTCATTTGGACAGAGCCTCAGGCATTGTTCAGTATCATTTCCCAGCAGAGCAGTCTGTTTGACAGCACTGCTTGAAGCTTCAGGATGGAAGGTTTCTTTCTTGAGCTCAGCTTGCCTGCTCCCATGGGAAATAGCTAGGTTGATAATGTATCTCAGAATTGGGGTAGAAATTGGGACCCCTGAATATCTGGTACGTTCGGGTGTAGTCTCCCATCCTGGCCTGTTTGCCTCCCTTTTGATTCATCAGCTGACTTAGCTTTAGCCTGCCCGTTCCCGTCCTGTTTGCCAAGATGGGAGGCTGGTAGGCAGTTCAAGAGGCGAGCTTCTCTGTCGCTACTGTCACACGTCAGAGAGGAGCACTTGTGTTTTCTGCCGATTATTTGAACAGACCTCTTCATTTCTCCCTTCAAATAGCATCAGACCTTGGGCTCCGTCCTCCTAAGTGTGTTGGGGCAGGAGGCTGCAGCTCCAGTCTGGGCTTTGCCTCACATCAAGTCTTCTGTGCCAAGCATGGGCCTGGCCTATCCCAGGGCTTGCTAAATTTGCTCTGGAGTAGACCTAGCCCTACCAGAGAGCTGTGAGGTGTGGCAGTGCCATTGCCTTTGGGATTTTTCTTCATGAAATGAAGGGTTAGGACTAGATGAGAATCGTCTTTGAGGAAGGTGGGATGTTGCTCGAGTAGAGCATGCGCAAGGCCCTGGCCCTGCTAACAAAGTCATTGCTGATAATTTTTAGCCTCTTGTTCCATCTGTGTACTAAATGCTATGCCAGTGGCTTGTTATTTCCTGTCAGTTACATATGCAAACGTAGTTGTCTAGTCTTGCTCAGCTCTGTAACTAGCTCCTGTTTTTCCCCTCCGACCCCTTAGCAAACAGGCTCATAGAGGTTCTGTGTGGGACAGAGCTCTCAGCACCTAGCACAGTGGGCCAGACTTTGTGTACCGGGAGCTTCAGATAGCAGCTTCCACTCTATACAGGGACTGCTGTGTGATTTTCCTATTTCCGGGTGCGCCCAGGTTGAACCCACTGAACCGATCGTCGTAGCATCTTGTTCAAGGCGGGCTTGGGTGAGGGCTAGGTGATAAACTCCCCTATCAGGCAGGAGGTCCCTGTTACGGGCACCGGATGGCAACTGTAAGGGGCCGTGCAGTATTAGAAGTAGCTCTCTCCAGCTGGTCCTCCTGGCACGGTGTACTCTAGGAGTATCCTGTGCTGGAGGACCAAAGGGGCCTTGTCATATGCAGGAAGAGGCACATTGTAGAGATGGCAGGCGAGATGACATGGTGCCCTGCACCAGGGCTGATGGGCAGGAGGGCCCTGCGATGTTGAGAGATCTTAGGAGAGAGGGTTCTGGCAGGATTGGAGGAGTGTGGAGGGGCTGGCTTTGTGACCAGATTCTCTGAGGGCTATAGGTGCCCACCATACTGCTTGTGTGGTGACACAAGTGTGGGTGACTAGAGTTCAGGAAGCCTGTGGGGCCTCCATGCTGCCTGGACCAGGTCCTTGGGAGGGAGCCGTTCTCTTTACAGCTTTGCCTGTTGATGGCCAACCATCAGGACTCTTGACAGCAGAGTGCGGGGGACAGGCAAGTGGGGTCTCCCGAGAAGCACATTTACTGCTGAACAATGAGGCTCGGCATCCAGTTCTGTGACAGTAGAGGTCTTAGACTAGAAACATGATTTTTTTTTTTAGTATATTGTAATTTTAAAGTTAAGTATTAATTACATGAATAAAGGCATAAATACAAAGAGAAAGACAGAGCCAAGACCAGTTTCTTTTTAACTTTCCCTAGCCTGGGGGGGGCTTGCCCACCTTACCTCTAGGGGGCAGTACAGCCCTTGGGAGAGCTGCTGTACTACTCTATTAGCTCCTTGGAGAAGGATGAAAACCTGAAGGCCAGCTGGACAGGCCTTGGCAAAGAATAAATCTAGAGACCCAACAGATCATGACGGGGCTTGAAAGTGTTTGGAGGACTAACGGTGAGGTCAACATAACCAGTGTTTGCTGAGCGTACTGCCCTGAGGCAGTACTGCGACTGCAACAGGGTCTGCTGGTGCCCTCAGCCTTAGGAAGAGAGGGGGGCATGGTGCCAGTGTGAGGCTGGGACTGGGCAGCTGAGTTGGCTCCCAGCCCTCAGCTTTTGCTCTGTGTAATCTTACACAGAAACTTCAGTTCTCAGGAATAAATACGTACAACTGAATTTCTCTGTACCTCTTTAATAGTCTCTCAGATGGGTAGATTAGCATTTATGAAGGATTATGAAACATCTCAAGTACTTGTATAGGCATAAGCAATGTTATAAAATTAAGGGAAACAAAGGCACTATAAGAGTAAGGAGTAGGGGTTGTCAATGCAGGATTTATTTTGGAGTTGCTCTGAGAAGTGCTGTTCATCGTAGGAAAGTGGGTAGGTAGCAGCATCTCTAGTGCAAGCATGTGCTTCTTTACATGTAAATATGTGGTATTGTGTGTAACATACATGAACACACATGCTTTCTTGTGGGTTACAGGAAAGAAATGATTTCCCTTGGGGATGGAGACGTTCGGTCCATGTGTACCCTTCTGTCCATGAGACCTGGAGAATATTCCTACTTCAGTCCCCGGACTATGAAGATGTGGGCTGGCCCCGATCACTGGCGATTTCGACCTCGACATAAACGTATGTACTTCTGGTTGGGCTTGTAGGCCAAGTAGTGTAGGTGACTAGCTAATCAGCTGCTAGCTGGGGACAGGCAGTGCTGATGACTGTCACAGGTGAGCTGGCCTCTGATAAGGTCAGGTAACTGGGCTCTGAGCAGGAAGAATAAGACCCTAGGGCCAGAAGGGCTGGGCCTACAACTTCTTGGTATTCCTACAAATGTCAGCCTGGCCTGAAGCTGCAGGGCGGCCACCTGGCCTAGAGCACGCCGAGAGGACAGCACTGTGCCTTCTGGGCCAGCCACTGAGGCTGCATCCTAAGGAAGAGCTCAGCGTGTGTGTGGGATGTGTTTTGTGAGCCCCACAGGAGTCGTGTAGTTTAGGGTAGAAGTGGGCTGTGGAGCAGCATGCCAGCCGGGGGGCTGTTTGCCGCACTGTCTCAGGCTGCCGCACCCTTGTGAGGCGAGCTAATTTAGACCACGGGTGACCAGCAGCCTCCATGTTCCCTCCCACAGAAGAGGCCCCCTCCCAGCCGGAGACCCGGAAGAGGAGTACAAAGAAAGACTTCACGATAGACTTCGACGAAGATACTGACTTCAGCGCATATTTTCAAAAAACAAAGGTCTGTACTAGGTTTAGTAGCCTTGTGCTTTCTTATATTCCTCCCTGCCCGTTTTTCTTTCACATATGCATTAACTGACACTTAAGTGGTTCACTCACCCACATCTCTAAAGGAGCCATGGGGTAATGGTCCCAGCAGGGCTGGCAAGACTTGCCTTTAGAATGGGGAGGGACGCCTGCAAAGCCATCTTCTTACACGATCTGTGGGCTCTCTGATCTGTTGGGGGAGTAGTGCCACCCAAACCCATTAAGAAAAAACCCCAGGATATTTGACCATTGTTATCAAAAATACCTGAAAACTTTTTTGTTTTAAATGACTAGGCTGCTACTGTTCTGAGCAAGTCCACCTTGGAGAACCAGAATTGGAAAGCTACCACTCTTCCAATGGATTTCCACTATGAGGTCGATACCCTGGTTCAGCTGCACCTCAAGCCAGGCATGAGGGTGAGGCCTCCCTGGGTTCCTTAGGGTGCTGCTGAGGAGAGGACATGAGGGACAGCTGGTGGCTGGCAGCAGAGAGGCGAGGCAGAACTGAAAGGGCGACTTGTGGGGAGGACTCAAGATCACCTTGCTGGGCTGCAGTGGAACTTGCTGGTGTCCCAGCACTTTGGAAGGCTAAAGGAAGAAGATAGCAAGTTTAAGTCCCACCTGCAAGACTTAGTGAGACTGTCTCAAAAAATACAACAAGTGGGGTAGGATAAAGCTCAGCGGCACAAGGGCCTACCTGGCGAGTACAAGGTCCTGAGTTTGGTTCTTGGTACTTAAAAAAAAATTATATCTGTATCTATCAATCAACCAATTATAAATAATGAGCAGGGATATAGTTCCATGCAGAGGCCTTAGGTTCAATTCCCAGTACAAGAAAAAAAAAAGGAAAGAAACAAATGGCTCGAGGCTGGGCGCTAGGGTGAGTGAGCGCATCATCTTGCTGAGGTTCCAAAACCTTCTGGCTACTTCTTGATCCTCTGGCTTCCCCTTGAAGCTGTGGAGTCGCTGGCCTGGTGCCTTACCTAGTCTACACTGTCTTGCTCATGATCTGGGTTTAGAAGGGTGCCACAGTGGCAGACTCATGTCCCCAAGTGTACCTGTCTGTGCTCCCCCAGGACTGTCCTAGGAAGCACCAGATCACTCATGCTCATTCCCTGATTTCTGTCTGCCTCTTTGCCTGTGGCTTGTCCCTGGTGCTAGTGGCAAGGGACAGTGAGGATCCGGTCACAGGCACAAAGCAAGGCGGAGCCAGGGGAGGTGCACACACTTCCTCCAGGCCTGGGCTGGCCTCAAGCTGAGGTCCCCTGTCAGGACCTTGTGTAGGGGCTGCTGTCTGCAGGCAGGTTGTTAGTATATAATGTATTTGGACTTATATTATAAAAACATGGCGAGTTTGGGTTCTTTTCCCTTTATAGAGAATTGTGGAATTTTATTAAACATTCATTGTGCCCTCATGAACCTGCATTCCCATGTCCGGCTGCAGACCACTGGTATAAGGACTCGCAGATGCTGGGAGGGCTGTGGTCAGTGGCCTCCTGAAGAAGGGCATGGTTTTGTGAGACCATGGAGGTCGCCAGGGGCGGGAACAAGGTGGCTGCCTGGAAGTTACTGTGGTGGGTTTTCATTAGAATTGATCAAGGGTGACAAGATGACTTCTTTTGGATGGCTGTGGGCAGGGCTTCCAACTTGATTTTAGAGCAGGACCAGTTTTTCACATAAAACTATGTGGAGCACGTCATTGAGGATCAGAAGCAGGGCTGCACTGTGTGGGACCTGCACCCCACTGCCTGGGCTGCTCTGTGCTGTAGAGAGGTGTCATGTGGACAGCTTTGATTCTGGGAGGAGCATGGGCATAGCCACAAAGGGTGAATTCCCAACCTAGTGCAGTGGCCGCACTTCTCACATGGTTTGTGTTCTCTCCTTTATTCTAGCTACTGAAGATGACCCAGGGCCAGGAGGCAGGGACCGAGCACTATGAAGAAATTGGAGATTACGACTATGACAACCCCAACGACACCTCCAACTTCTGCCCTGGGCTCCAGGTGAGCAGCACTCACTGTCATCCCCTCCAAGCGGGGACACCGTCTTCCCTGATTCCCAGTCCAGACAGCGGGAGCAGAGGAGTGAGCTGAGACCTGCCCTGCCTGCATGCTGGCCTGCATCCTGATGATTCGGTGCGCAGGGGGAGCCGTCACCTGGCCACACACGCCGCTCGGCTCTGAGGCTTCCAGAAATAGGACTGTTCTTGGTCCTCAGAGCCAGTGTCCTGACATCCAAGAGGTGGTGTGGTCTGGGGGACAGAAAATCTTAAGGCTTTCCAGAGACCCAGAGGGGAAGGCCAGCCTTCCACCCCGACTTTGGTTCCTAGCTTGTGAGCTTGCATGGCGGCTCTCCGTTGTTAGATCTTGGCTGAGACCACATAATTTCCATTTCTCATCAGTAAGTCTACCAAGGAGTTAGTAAACGACCCTGGGGCAGGAGAGGCCTCACCTGTGTGCCTGCTGTGGGCGGAAGGCAGGAAAGGCGCAGGAAGGACAGTTTGCTTCCCCATGCATGAGAGGCAGGCGAACCCCCTGGCCCTCGAGCAGTGTTTCCCAAACCTGAGGACTCACCTGAGAGGCTTTTCTGAGTCACCCTTACCCCTCCCAAGACTCCTGTGCTTTTCTTGGGGGGTGGTGCCAGGTTTTGTTCTTGTTTTTTTTTTTTTTTTTTTTTGGTAAAGCCGGGGATTAAACTCAGGCTCTTGCGCTTGCCAGGGAAGCACTTATTGTACTGAGCCATCTCCCTGGCCCCAAGGAGCAAATCTCTGTCTGTTTTCTCCAAGTGCTGTTTTTTGTTTGTTTGTTTGTTTGTTTGTTTGTTTTTGTGGAACGGGGGATTGAACTTGGTGCCAGGTTTTGAACCAGGAGCCTTCGTGTTGACCTGTACCCTAGTCCCTGTCTTTTGTCTTTGTCATCTGAGGTACTGGTTGTATCTACAGTATTGCAGGACACTTTCTGTTAAATCTTCATTTACCTTAGAGGTCTTCAGGTAGCAGCAGATCTTCCCTGGAGGGTTTCTGTAGAATAGAAGAGACCAGAAGGTCCCATGGGCGGGGCTCAGTTGGGAACGCTCTAGCAGTCTGTTCTGGCTTTGTACATTTGCCTCTGTTTTTTGTTTTTTGGGGGAGTTTTTTGTTTGTTTGTTTGTTTGTTTGTTTGTTTTTTGGCGGAACCAGGATTGAACTCAGATCCTTGCGCTTGCCAGGGAAGTGCTTATTCTACTGAGCCATCTCCCCAGCCCCTCAGCTCTGTTTTGAAGATGCTCCTAAGCCCTGCCACCAGCTTCTCCCAAACCTGAAGAGTTGTTTCTTTGCACAGGCTGCTGACAGTGATTCCCAAGAATCAGACAACTTACTTACAGGGCAAGTTGGCACCTTTGACCTCACATCTGAGCCCTACAGCACACCTATGACAGCAGAAGAGAATGGTGACAGTCCTGAGGGTCACATCAACATCACGTCCTATGGGGAATCCAACCTGGTGGCTGAGCCTCAGAAGGTAAAGATGCATTGGTAAAGATTTACATCGTTTGGTTTGCCTGGAATCTTGTTTAGCTTATATCCTGTTTGAGAGCCACATCAGCCTGTGCCTGATACCTTCCGTCTCCATTTTAACTGTTGCTGTCCGAGTGGCTGAGTCTTAAACAGGGCTGCAGGGAGGGCAGGTTCCTGTGGAATTAATTGCCTCTCCGCAAAGAGCTTTTCTAGTCACGCGTGTGGGCTGGATAGAACCCAGCCCTCATGCTTGCTGTGCACATGCTCTCTCACTGCCCTGTGGCCCAGCTCCAAGGATTGCAGCAAGTCACACAACTAGGGCTGAGCTGTCAGCCACATAAAGCAATTTGGTGGAGGCTGCAGGCAGAGAACATGGATGTAGATGCCAGTTTAGCAAGACTAGCCGTGGGGCCAGTTTCATTAACATCATGTTATCCTGCATTATGCATCTCTGTCCATACAAGCTAGCAGACTTCATGCTTTCGCTAGTGTTTGATCCCCTTATCTCTCTTGCTGTAGCATTTAAGCTTAGTTTTAATGAGGATTACCTTTTGGTAGGTTAGTACTAGGGATTGAACACAAGGCTACTGAGCTATATCTAGCCCTTTAAAAAAAAAAAAGGCCTGGTCTTAGGAAGTTACTCAGTCTAGCCTTGGACTTGGAATTCTGCTGTCTCAGCCTTCTGATCAACCCTTTAGGTCAGTGGTCTTAAGTGCCTGCTTAGGCAAGCACAAGGCCTGGTTGAATCCTTGATACCACGTACTGTGCCAGCTGTGCCCCTGGCATGCAGAGCCAGCCACCAAGACCTGGTGTGATGACGCACACCTGTAATCCCAGCTCTGGGGAGGCTGAGACAGGAAGATTACTACAAGTCTGAGCTGCATAGTGAGCCCCTGTACCAAATACATAAAAAAAATTTAAAAAAGAAAGAAATTTATGAAATGTTTTTACTTTTTCTTAAGACAGAGTCTTGCTATATATATAGTTCAGGGGGGTATTGAACTCATTACGTAGCTTAGGCTGGCCTCAGACTCCCAGTGATTCTCTTGCCTTAGCCTCCTGAGAGCTGGGATGACAGGTGTGAGCTACCACACTCAGCCAAGAAATTAAATTAGGCGTGAGGGACAGACAGTGTGTGTGTAAGAGACTCTAACTTTTTTTGTGGTGCTGGGGATCGAACCCAGAACCTTGTACATGGAAGGCAAGAACTCACTCTACTGCTGAGACACATCCTCAGCCCAAATTCTCTCTTTGGTTAAAACTGGAAGTATTTTCCTTTTGAGTCTTCCTAGTCATCCTAGCTGTCTGCTTGCACTGCCTTGGTCTGTCCCCTTTTCCCTTATCTGCAAATGAATTGTCTTCTTTTACTTTAAAAAAAAAAACAACCTGGATTTTCAAAATTCTAAGTTCAGAATTTTTACAGTGACTCAGTGGTGGTTTTCCTTTTGCTCAGTTTCACCATGTCGTGTACCTATTTCAGGTTAATAAAATTGAAATTCACTATGCCAAGACTGCCAAAAAGATGGACATGAAGAAGCTGAAGCAGAGCATGTGGAGTCTGCTGACAGAGCGCCCCAGGAAGGAGGCCGGCGCCGAGGTAGGTGCCAGTGCTGCCCACCTGGCGGGAGCCAGGGCCACCAGCAGCCACTCAGGTGCCTCTGACATGGTCCCAGAAGGACAAGAAGGATGTCACTGCAAGGGGAGACATGGGCTTGGCTTGGGAGCATGCGGCGCACAGAAGGGGGCGCAGAGGGCAGGCTGGTGCCCGGGACATGTTCACTCTGTGCTGGTAGCCAAACAAAACGGAAGCACCTTTGGCTGCTTGAAATCAGCAGTATTTCACAAGAGTGTGCCCAGTACTGAGTTGAAGAAAAGTTGGAATACAGACTGCTGGTAGCAATTTAAATTGAAAAAGGATCTTTTTTTTTTTTTGCGCAACTGCAGATTAAATTCAGGCCCTTGTGCTTGCCAGGGAGGCGCTTATTCCATTGAGCCATCTCCCCAGCCCGGAAGAAGTGTCTATGTGGGCATCCTTTCTTTCTTTTTTTTGGGTGGAATCGGAGATTGAACTCAGGCCCCTGTGCTTGCCAGGGGAGCGCTTATTCTACTGAGCCATCTCCCCGGACCCCTTAAATTGAAAAAGGACCTTTTAAAAAGTAATTACTTGAGGGGCCAGGGAGATGGCTTAGTAGAATAAGCGCTTCCCTGGCAAGCACAAGAGCCTGAGTTCAATCCCCCATTCTGCCCCCCGCCCAAAAAAAAAGAAGAAAATAACTTCTTGAAAAAAAAGAAAGTAACTACTTGGCTAGAAGAGTAATTTTTTTTTTTTTTCTTTTATATTGGTACTGGGGATTGAACTCAGGACCTTGCGCTTGCCTGGCAGGTGCTTATGCCACTGAGCTATCTTCCCAGTGTCCTACTTGTCTAGAAGAGAAGTTCTCTTTTCAATAAATTGTTTTAGATTTCTTAAAAAAAAAAATAAATATTTGTCAGGTGCCATGAAATGCTTAAACCCTTCTCTTTGTTGTCTTTTTGAGAGACTCACTATGTGGTTCAGGCTGGCCTTGAGCTCACTTTGTAGCCCACGCCTCAAACTAAACCCTTTGATCTAGTAATTCTTTTTGAATCTTTTATTGATGGATTGATTGATTTGGTACAGGGTCTCGACTTGTAGTGATCCTCCTTTCTCAGCCTCCCCAGCTGAGGCTTATATATTTTGGCTTACGCCACCACCCCTGATTTCAGTGGCCTGCATGGTGGTACTGTGTGCGGTACTGGGGATTGAACCTGAGTCCTTGCATTTGCCAGGCAAGTGCTTAGACCGCCATGCTATCTTCCCAGCCCTCTAACTAGTAATTCTGACTTGGGGAATGAATTCTCAGTAGGAAAGTTGTAGAGAAACTATCATGCCATCAGATTCTTTCTCTTGGAGAAGGAGTTGGAACCCTGATTACTTGTCCAACTCAGTGAAGGTCACAGGCCCCCTTCTCTAGAATGTCCTGCTGAGGGCACACTCGGAGCTGTAGCGCTCCACCACCTCCCTGCTGCTGGCTAAGAAGTGGGCACTAGTGGCTAGATAGAGGACCAGAGTTGTATGGTCGCAAGTGTACTGAAGAAAACGTCAGTCCTACTTGGGAGTGCGAACTCCTAATAGAATCAGCTTCACATGAAGAAGACTGGTTTGTAAAGAGAGAGGGGAAACCAAGAGAAGTGGCTCACACTTATTATCCCACCACTCGAGAGCCTGAGGCAGGAGGATCACCGTGAGTTCAAGGACAGCCCAAATTACACAGCGAGACCCTGTCTCAATAATAGTAAAGAGAGAGAAGGGGGGGCTGGTGAGATGGCTCAGTGGTCTAAAGCACCTACTTAGAACAAGCTTAGCAAAGCACAGGGACCGCGGTTCAATCCCCAGCACCACATGCCAGCCAGCCCCGCCCCCTGGTGGGCTGAGCTGGTCACACACACACACACACACACACACACACACACACACACATAAATAAATAAATAAATAAATAATTTTTTAAAAAAGGGTGCAGCTTGACTTTCAGATTTGGTGACTCCCCATTCCCTACCCCCAGGCATTCTGGTTCATTAAAAGGTTTATTCTTTTTTAAAGTTTTATTAGAAAATATACAAAAGTAAGGGGTTGGGGAGCTAGCTCAGTGGTCTAAATGCCTGCCTGGCAAGTGCAAGGACACTAGCACCTACGTATGCTGTACCGGCCTGGTAGCGCACGCCTGTAATCCCAGAGTTGGGGAGGCTGAGAGACAGGAGGATCACTACAAGTCTGAACTGCATAGCGAGACCCTGTAACAAATAAAAAGAAAAACAAAAGTAGAAGAGTAGGGCCAGGGAGAGAGCAGCGCGTGTGCCTGGCAAGTGCAAAGTCCTGATTTCAATTTCTGGTACTAAAAAAAGTAGAATAGAGAGAAAAATAATAGTGTAGTATAATGAAGCTCCACTTCACATCCTCTGCTTTGCTAGAATCTGGCCTACCTTGTCACTCCCACCCGCCCCCGAGTCTGTGTGCGCCGTACGGATTCTTCTGGAGCTTCCAGCGCTCAGCTCCATCACAGGCTTTTTATTTTGGGATTGGCGCTCTCTTAAGTTGCCAAGGCTAGTCTTGAACTTACAGTCCTCCTCCAGCCTCTCAAGTAACTCTATACTGATGTAGCTCACCACACCCAGCTAGAAGTTATTTTTGTGTCTGTTCCAGCCCTGATGTACTTCGGTGACTGGTTGCCCGTTACTAAAATGGAACCAGGACTTTTTGTTAGTTTACTTTTTTTTTTTTTTTTTAATAATTTATTTATTTATTTATTGTGTGTGTGTGTGTGTGTGTGTGTGTGTGTGTGTGTGGCCAGCTCAGCCCACCAGGGGGCGGGGCTGGCTGGCATGTGGTGCTGGGGGATTGAACCGCGGTCCCTCTGCTTTTGTTAAGCTTGTTCTAAGTAGGCGCTCCAGACCACTGAGCCATCCCCAAGGATGGATTTTATGCTGCCTCTATCTGTAATCTTGTTGAAGCTATAAATTATTATTTTTTTAACTTTTCCTAAGGGCATTTAGGAGCCCCTCTGCAGTGTCCCCTTCACTAAGGTCATACTGGCCACTGTAACTAGGTTGCTGTCACTGTCTGCCTGAAGTTGAGACCCCGTCTGAGTGCCTTCTCCACAGATAACCAAGGACGTCTGTCACTGTCCTTCACAGTCCTTTCCTTGGGGGATTCGGCCTTGCCAGTGTCTGCAGCCCTCAGACGTGCACTGGCCTCATGTCTGTCTTCCCTTAGGTGAGCCCCGGGGAAACTGGCGCAGAAGAAGCCCTGGTGAGGGTGGCCAATGACAAGATGCTCAGCGGGCTCGCGAAAGATCTGCAGAAAAGGTGTGTGCTAGGGCTGGGGAGATAGGTTAGTAGAATAAGCACATGCCTGGCAAGCTCAGAGTCCTGAGTTCAATCCCTAGTACTGCAAAAAAAAAAAAAAGGGGCTGGCCAGATATCTCAGGGGATTAAAAAAAAGTGCCTGCTTAGGCAGATGCAGGGACTGGGTTTGATCCCTAGTGTGCGTGCTGGCCCCGCCCATGGGCACACTGAGATGGCAGTTGAGACTGGGCGTAAGGGCATGCACCTATAATCCCAGCACTTGGGAGGTTGAAAACAGGAGGATCTCTATGGGTCCAAACTGTGTAGTGAGACCCTATAGACCCTGTATACCCTGTACTAACTACATTAAGAAAAAAAAAAGAAGAGGTGTGTGCTGGCCCGGCAGGATGTGGGGACGCACAGGGACCCTGGACACACCGTGTTGTCTCTACACTCAGTGCGTGGTGGGACCGTCAGAGTGACGGGCCTGCTGCGCACCTGAAGCGCTGTGTCCTTGCTGTTCGTCCTCGTGCTCTCACTGACCATGGCCTGCTCCCCTCTGATTGCAGCCTGCCTGCCCCCATGGCCCAGAACCTCTCCATCCCCCTGGCGTTCGCCTGCCTCCTGCACCTGGCCAATGAGAAGGTAAGTCACCAGGAAGCAGGCCACTCATGCACGCCCTGTCCGCACTCACCTTCGGAGCTTCCCGCCACAGCTCAGGCGTGCGCAGAGAAGTCACTCAGCAACAGCTACCAGGTTTACTAGGGATGGAAATGGTGAAACACCCACACAGGAAGCTTTTTTTTTAACAAGAGCACAAATGCACTTTTATTTTCCATTAGTTTAAATTCTTGAGGGGTACAGCATCCCACAGATTCAGTGTCCCACCGCCTTAGCAGGAAAGTTGCTTTGGAAGTTGGCACAAACCATGCCACTGTTTCCGTGGGCCTGAGTGACCTTTCCCCAGATCACTCTGGTTTTGTTTGGTTTGCCACCTGGAGTCACTGTGTTGTTTTTCACTTTGTACACATAAGCACATCTCTTGCCCAAGTAGAATTCAGTTTCACCCCGGGCATAAGCATCTTCAATTTTAGGAAGATCTGTGTGTTCCCTCTGGTTCTGGAGACCCTGCGTATAGCCAGCAAAGACGGCCTTGGACCACAGTCTCCAGGCATGTTTGCCTTGTATTTATTTTATTTTATTTATTTAATGTTTGCCTTTTAGAAGTCCTGCTCCCAGCAGGCTTCCCCAGACTCTAGGATGGTGGGAAAAGGAGATGTTTTGTTTTTGAGACATTGTCTCACTAGTTCAGGCTGGCCTTGAACTCACTACATAGCCCAAGGTGGCATCAAAATTGAAGCAGTTCTCCTGCCTCAGCCTCCCTGCTGGAATTGTAGATGTGCACCACCAGGCTCAGTTCTATGTGGGAACATTTTAGATGATGGGATTATGATTATCCCAGCCTGAGAATATAGAGTGGTTTCATTTAAAAGCCAAGGCCTACAAGTGACAGAGACCAGACTTGTGGGTAACACATCAGAGAAGAGAGGTGGAGGAAAGGTGGGCCACTTCAGGAAGGAGGCTGGAGCTGTGGAGGCACCAGCTGCCGGGTGGGGTTCTTGGGAGCAGAGCCATCTGGCCCAGGCAGGGGTCAGTGGGGCAGGCTCCTGGTTGTGCCGTCAGCCTCCTTAGGGACCCTGATGTGGCAAACAGCACTAAATGCGTACACTGGGCACCTGAACACTTGGTGTCCACAACACTGATGTTGGCATCTTACAGAAGAGGCCTGCGCCATGACCCTAGCAAGGGGGCGGAGCTGGCATGCTCTGTGGTGTATATCCCACACCTCCTCTAGGACAGGGCCTGCCCTGAGCAGGGGGACCCAGCGTGTGCTTGGGTAGGGTGGGTGGATGGCGGTGGAGCGGTAGCAAAGTGAATATGAGGAGCTGAGGCTTCCCTGTCCCCATGGTTGTGGCTCAGAGGAGTGGGGAGCTGACCAGAGACAGAAGCTCACTGTAGATTTCAGTGGGGAACCAGAAAGACTCACAAGAGCCCTAGGCCAGGCCTAGCTGCTGCCTGGAGCCCCCTGGTGTTGAGTGTCCAAGCCTGTGGCCTGCACAGAAGCCAGCTTTGCTCAGAGTGATCATGCTTTGGGCTGCAGGATGGCTGTCCCTGGGGAATCCTGGAGGTGGTGTGTCCTGTGTGAAGCAAGGGTGGTGGGCACGCAGCCTCTGTCTGCGTGTGAGACACGGTAGCGGAAGTGTCTCCCTGTGGGTTCTGATATATCGGAGGTGTCTGATGTCAGACAAGCTACAGAAAGAAGACGACTCGGAAAAAGTAATCAGCAGCAAGGGGCATGTTATCGTCTCCCTCACTAGAGGTCTGCTAGTGGCTCTGTGAGGGTGGCCATGTGTGCCACACCAAGGTGTCCCCTCTGCTGAGCTGTCCTGGGAGACCTGGACTGTCCCCTTCTCTGTCCCTGCCCCTGAGGTGCTGCCACATCCTGCTTGTGCTCTTGTACCCCAGGCTCCTAGTGTGCAGAGTGTACCCACAGCCCAAACCTGTCTCCATCAGCTAAGGGTGCCACTGCCTGGAGTCCCAGCGCCTGGGAAGGCTGAGGCAGGAGGTAACGTGAGGCTCAGAGCTCAAGACTGGCCTGGGTGACTGAGGCAGCCCCTGCTCAGAACAACGAAATGAGAGTAAAGATGGGCCTGATTTCACTCATTCGCCCCAGGCTAGGAACCAAGGTGCTGCCCCTCCCGGCAACTCCACAGTAAGCTTGTTCCCCGGAGAGCAGCCTGTGGCCTTGCCAGGGGCCCAGGTATCCTGAGCCAGCTCCCGTCTGTGCCCTGTGCTCTCACCCCCAGCTATGGCTGGGGCTGTGTTCAGGTGGGGTCGCCTCTGACTTGAGAGGCCCCGAAGCCCTCCTCATCTCGGAGTCACTACCTTGTTGCCTTGCTGAGAATGGGATTTAGGGTTCTTGTCCCAGTCTAAGTCCCTGTGTGTCTTGCTCATTCCTCAGAACCTGAAGCTGGAAGGCCTGCAAGATCTCTCTGACATCCTCGTGAGGCAGGGCGACTGAGGCCCTGGCAGGAAGTGGCCACAGCAGGCCCTGTTGTCACCAGTCGGTCAGGGCTTTGGCCGAGGAAGATGCAGGGGCCTGAAGCAAGGCTGACGCCAGCGGCTGGAGTTCCTGTCGCTCCACCCGTCACTGTCTGGGTGCTGGTGCCGTGGTTTGTCCTCTGTTGACTGCAGTTTCCATGCTGAGGACAGATTGGGCAGGATGGGGAGGATGGCAGTGTGGGCTCACGGCCCTGCCATGTGTCCACTCCATATCCAGGGTCACTGTCGGTGTCCTCCCTCTGTGTTGTTTCCTTCCTTCACTTGCAGAAAATAACTGTTCCCAAGCTGCTTACTCAAGAGCTCCCTATGCCATGCATGTAAAATACTCTCCATGTATACTTACAAATGTATATATAAGGCGAAAGAGATCTTTCTGAAGAATGTGCCTGGTGAGATACGCGCATGTCACTGGGGTCTGCCGTTAGCGTTGGAGCTGGTTCAGCCAGGACACAGCACTGTTAGGCAGGAAGTGCCCAAGGACACGTTGGTCTGCCCCGGAAGAGTGGGGAAGAGCAGCCGCTGCCTGGAGAGGAGGCTCCGGTGGGGCCCGTGATTACCCACCTTAGGCAGTGCCTGCCAGTCATTCCATGGGTCACTTTGGCCTTCTCCACACCCGTGGAAGGAGCATGCTGTCGCTGCGCCATGTCATGTGAAGCACACAAGAGAAGTCACCTAGAGGCAACCTGCCCTGGAGCCTTGGGTCCTGGCCACCATGCCACGTGCTGCTTGAAGAGCAGTGATCGGCAGCTCCTCGGGTCAGAGCTCTCACGAACCTAAAATTTCTTCCAAGGAACCTGTCCTCGGTGGTCCTGGCCCCACCAAGGCAGCAGGGTGTGTAACTGGTGATCTTATTGGAGGTGTGGGGGCTCAGACTTGGGACCTTGCTCTTCCAGGTGGTGCTGCAACACGGAGCTATGGCCCTGGCCCAAAGTGGAGGTTCTGGGTTTGTTTTTTTTTGTTTTTGGAGACAGGGTCTCACTATGCAGCTCAGGCTGGCCTTGAGCTCACTTTGTAGCCCAGGCTGGTCTTCAACTCTTTTTTTTTTTTTTTTTTTCTGAACCGGGGATTGAACTCAGACCCTTGCGCTTGCCAGGCAAGCACTTATTCTACTGAGCCATCTCCCCGGCCCCTGGTCTTCAACTCTTAGTGATCATCCTGTCTCAGCCTCCCAAGTGCTGGGATTACAGGCGTGTGCCACCACACCCAGCTTGGAAATTATTCTTGACAATAACTTCTGTTCAGCCAAAAACCACACTAGACGCCCCCCAACACGCTTTCCAGGTGGCGCCCTGAATATCACTTGCTCTGTGCTGTGGTCATGATGGGCTTCGGGGACAGCAGCGCACGCTTCCTGTTCTAGCACTGGTCCTCTCGCTCGAGCTTCATGCTGAGGGCAGCCCGCGAGGCCCACCGCTCTGTCCATTGCGCTTCCTGACAGCAAGGTCCGGTCCAGGCCAACCGCAGTGCACTCCCCTCTCCACCTGCTGCCTGCCAGGCCACCGTCCCGTGATGCTGCCCCTGAGTGTGTGGCTGCTCGCGGTGCAGGCGGGCGCTGTCCTGCATGCCTGTGTCCCCTCCACAAGCCCCTGTGCTGAGCCTCACTCTCAAAGCAGTGGGATGATGAGGGGCCCTCGGGCTGGAGAGGCTGGCGTGCTCGTCCTCCACCCCTGAAGAAGGAGTGTCTCTAAGCAGGAAGCAGCTGCCCGCCTAGCAAGCATGCCAGTGCCCTGGAGCAACTTGCAGTGTCCTCTGTGAGCCACCATCTTTGAGCGCGCTAGGGGTTTTGATTCAGTTTTCAGTGTTACAATTTTCATTTACGTTTCTTTTTATTTTGAGATTCCCTTTTTGTTGTCCGTGTTCCTTAAATCTGAGCATATTTTCTTTTTACTTCTCCAACGTGCCTACAATAGCAACTCTGAAGTCGGCCGCATCCTCATCAGCCCCTCTAGCAAGAAGTGATTACTCTTCCTGAATATAATTACAGATTCATGTTTCTTTGCATGTTTAGTCATTTTCGGTTGAAACTTGAGTACTGTAAATAAAATACATTGACTGGATGCTGTTGTGTCCTTTGAAGATGCGTAGATTTTTTTTAGTCTGGTAAGCAGTGAATTTGCCTGGATTCAAACCTCAGATGCCGTGTCCCTCGCTGTCTGCAGTCACGCATCTCTACCCACCTGTTGCTGTCACGTCAGCTTGGGTGTGCAGCGGGGCTGTGGCTGCCTCCGTGACTTCTTGCCCCTAGTTTTCAGCTGGGCCGCCTGCCACGGACCCCATCCTCCAGCCCACCCAGCTTCTGCTTTACCGCGACGCCAGTGTGAGGGTGGCGGCAGGCTCCCGGCTCTCGTCTGGCTGCTTTCACATTCCTCGCTTCCTCCCTCACTTGGATGCTGTTCTCCGCATCTTTGCCACAAAAACTGTGATGCCCCCACCATCTCGCCCAGCCATCGCTGGGGGCATCGGGCAGCAGTGGGCCCGACTCGCTCCATAGGTTTATGTGGGGCAGGCGAGGGAAGCGTGTTAGAGCCAGCGTCACACTTTAGGAACAGATCTCAGGCACTGTGCTCACATCTGGACCTGCGTAGTTAGCAGCATTCCCGACTTCCAGCGGCTGTTGAATGGGATGTGACTTCTGGGGCCTGGGGAAGTGTGTGTTGCGCATACGAATTTTGTGAGTTGCATGAGCCAGTGTCTGTGTAATTAGATGATAGATAGATAGATAGATAGATAGATAGATAGATAGATAGATAGAGTTTTTTTTTCTAGAATACTGCAAAGATGGTGGTATGTGGCTTCCCAGGCTCAGTGATAAAATGGCTAGCAATGTTTACAGTGGTAGCACATAAGCACATAGGTTTTGCGCTGGGAAGAACACTCCAGAAGTATTTGGAACCAGGCGTGGTGTTGCACACCTGTAATCCCAGCACTTGCAAGGTGAAGGCAGAAAGATCACTCAGTTTGAGGCCAGCCCGGGCTACGTAGTGGGTTTTAAGACCAGCCTGATTCACATGGCAAGACCCAGCTCAAAAAGCAAGACCACAACTCCAAAAGTATTTGGAGAGCGCCACTGGGGAGAAGTGGAGCCTCCTGCCAACAACCCACACCCACGTGCCATCCACCTGAAGCAAATGGTCACAGTTCCTCTGCGGATGGTGTGGCCTTGGGTGACACTATGCCTGCCCTGATTGGAAACTCTTGAGTCAGCGCTGCCCTCTAAGCCGAAAGCACACACCTGTAATCCCAGCACCAAGAGGCTGAGGCAGGAGGACTGCCATGAGTTTGAAGCTAGCCAGGGCTACATCGTGAATTCAAGGCCAGCCAGAACTACACAGCAAGGCCTTACCTCTCATAAATAAATAAATAAATAAATAAATAAATAAATAAATATTAATTTAATTAAATAAAATTTGCATAGAGATCTAAAGAAACAATTTACTCCCGAGAGGCTTAGCTTTTATATCTGTTGGGTTAATTACACTGAAATCAGTGTTTTCACGGTGCGTTCAATTGCTGTGAACCTTAGCACTCAAGAGTTTGAACTGTGAAACACTAAACAAAGGCCCATTGCCCATGGCCAGTACCATTTCCTATAATAAATCTACAGTGAAAACCGATTACTCGTTGGTTAAAGGTTATATTTGATACAAGATTAATCCTTTTTATGGAGTGATTTATTGTTGTTCCAGGTTGGGTCTTTGTGTTTTATTAGTGTTTATTCATGTTCTTCCCTAGGACTCTGTCTGTATGTCATAGACAACCACTCCAGGGTATTTAATGTCTACCCTTTTGTTTGTTTTTCAGCCAGTGTTTTATGTACATGTATTTTAGTTGATGTAAATAATTTGCATTACTTTTTTTTTTGTATTTTAGGGAAGGGTCTACAGGGTGTTCAGGGGCTCACTACTAGATCGGACTCATAGCAATCCACCTGTTTACAGCCTCCCAAGAGTTGGGATTACAAGGGGCCGGGGAGATGGCTCAGTGGAATAAACACTTCCCTGGCAAGTACAAGGACCTGAGTTCTTCTTGCAGGTGCTTTAATCCGCTGAGCTATTTGGCCAGCCCTGCATTACATATTTATACTGATTCTTTTTCCTCCCTCTAACAGGTTTTGTTTGTTTGTTTGTTTGTTTGTTTTGGATAGGGTCTTGCTATGTGGTCCAGGCCGGACCAACTTGCAGTGATGCCCCTGCCTCAGCCTCCCAAGTGCTGAGATTGCAGGCCTGCACCACCACACCCGGGGCAGTGCGATTTGAAGGCCCACCCTTGCTCTGGGTCCCAGCAGTGTATGAGGATTCTTACATCTCCACAGCCCTGTTGGGGGCAAAGCTGTCTCTACCTCAGGTATCTAGGACACAGCCGCTGCCTCTCATGAGTTTGGCAGGGCCCCATGAGAGGCGTATGCAGCTCAGGGACCGATGCACATGGTGACTTGACCTTCCCCCGCGGTAATGTAGACACTTCCCCTCTTGTTCCCCATGAAGCCCCCAAGTCGTGCTGTTCTGCTGAAGAGTGGATAGTCTTCCTGTCCCGGATCCTGCCCTCTCCTTAAGCTCTCCGTGAACTCATTCATGTGCTGTTTTATAAATAAATGTGCTGCAGGTGCTGGGCAGTTCCTTTCTCCCACCATGAGAGAAGGCTACCCCTGACCCCAGCTTTCTGCCTCTGACTTGTTTTCTTCATCCCCGCATCCTCCATCCAGAGTATCAGGAGCTGCGCTGGAAGAGGCCGAGCCCCAACAACAGTCACTTTAACCAGCTTTCTCTTACCAGCTTACAGAAGTTGAGTATTTTGCTCATTGCTGTTGCAATTTGTCTTTTTCTGATGACTAAAGAGTTTAAACATAACTTCTTATGTCCATTAGTCCCCAGGTAATTGGATATATCATTTAGCTGTGCCATTTGTCTATTTTTCTTTTGCCCGCCCTCCCTCCCTCTCTCCATTTTTGTACTAGTGATTGAACCCAGGACCTCACACGTTAGGCGCATACTGTAATCCTCAGCTACGTCCTCAGGCATTTATTTATTTATTTTTGTATTTTAGGGAACAGTCTACAGGGTGTTCAGGGTCTCACTACTAGATCTGACTCGTAGTGATCCGCCTGTTTACAGCCTCCCAAGAGCTGGGATTACAGGCAGTGCCACCTCACCCAGTCTCAATTACTGTCTCAGCGTGCCCTGGGGGCAGGGCCAGCACAGCAGGCCTGGGAATCAAACCCCTGGCTCCTGTGACTGCTTGCAGGTGCTTTAATCCGTTGAGCTGTTTGGCTGGCCCCATTTATTTATTTTTATCTTATTGAGACAGGGTCTTGCTATGCAGTTGAGCTCACTTTGTAGTCCTGCCTCAGCCTCCTGAGTGCTAGAATTACAGGCATGTGCCACCATGCCTGGCCTTTTATTTTGAGACTGTCTTGCTAAGTTGCCTGAATGGCCTTGAATTTAGTCTTTTTCGCCTCAGCCTGCTGAGTGGCTGGGATTGCACCCTGATACCTGGTTCTATCTTGTTCTTTATGATTTATAGGAGTCCCTTGTGTATTTTAAACCTGTGCTGTCCAATAGGGTGATCACTAGCCAAATATAGCTGCATAGTTAATTTATTTTTATTTATTTATTTTTGGGGCAGAACCGGGGATTGAACTCAGGCCCTTACCAGGGAAGCACTTATTCTACTGAGCCATCTTTCCCGGCCCCTTCATAGTCAACTTATTTGGTTTCTTGAGAGGTGTAGTGCAGGCCAGCCTTGAGCTAACTGTAGGGCCCAGGCTGGCCTGATTCGCAGTAATCCTCCAGCCTCAGCCTCCCAAGTGCCAGAACTGCTGGCGTGCACCAGTAGACCCAGCGCCTAAATTTAAATTAATTGCAATCCAAATGCGGGTTTCCACCTGCCACATTCTAAGAGTGCACCAGCCACGTGGCCAGCGGCTGCCTCTCTGGACAGAGCAGGTGCAGGACATGTTCACTGTACACTTGTCAAATACAAAT